TTCAGCACAAATTGCTCAAATGAATGCTTTTGCTTTTTGAGATGGACTGCAGCATGCATGGAGCTCCACAGCACTGTAGGTACACTGCTAGCAGTACCCAGCCTAGAATAAGTTGGCTAAGAGTTAGCTTTGTCCATACAAGCTGTAGTCAGAGCAGCAACTGCCATATGGACACGCTTGTGTGACCTGCTGCCTGACACTGACTAAATTGCTGCCAGGGCAAGCAGCAGAATGGACTACATTAGGAGAGTGCTGCCCTACTTGTTAAAGCATTGCTGTGAACATAGGCTGTGAGCTGACACTCATCAACCTGCAGAACTACATTAATCAGTAAAAATGCTTTACAAATTTATTAGATCCATGTGGCTATGCTGAGAGGCCAGAGGGATGTTCAGAGATTTGAACAGTCATTTAGTCCAGTGCTCTGCACAGACTCTCCCCCTCCCCACTTACCTCCCCTTATGTCTCTGTATACCTTCCCTTCCATCACTGCTTTTGGCCTCATCACTTATTTAGGCTCTTTTTTTTCCCCCTGCAATGACCACCATGTAGTGAAACCTCTCCCTGAGTTATTACCCATACCCAGTGACTTCCCTGGACTTGAATTTCTCCTGGGAAGCCATTTCCATTAAGATGGCCTTAAGGAATGAGCTGTTTTGTACTGACTAAGTAACCATGGGTAGCCTTAAAAGAAGGTTCATTATCAAGGTACTGCCAACCATGAACCTGGCATCCTTCCCTGCAAGTTGTATATCCACTCCCTCTGCCAACTCAACAATCTTTTAAAGACTTCTTTGAGGCAGAGATTGCTCTTTCCGTTACATTCCAGAACCAAGCAGCAGTCACCTGTTTCAAGAATGCAGCCAGCAAAACACTGTCTCAGTCCACTATCTTCATCAAATTGCAAAAATACTGAGTCCATCAGTATTTCCCTAGCAAGCACAGACTTTGCTGTGCCTGTAAGGAGGGGGAAAAACCCCCCTAACTTCAGGGCATGCGGAGTTCAGCAAGACCCAACCTTAACCCCATAGGCTTTTCTATGCTTGAGAATGAGGGCTTAATCTCAAGTAATAAAATAATACCTAGTTATAAGCTACTGGCATTTTGAGGAGTTTTTTCAGACTCCCATAGGTGACAAGGAAGAGTAAAATGCATTCACATCCAGAAATATTTTTGGTGCCTTGTGGAAATAACTTGTAAGGTGGCCATTTCTTTGTCATAAATCATACTCACTTTCTGAAAACATGAGATCACTTTAATCTGAGGAAGGAATGACTGAAGAAAACATACAAGGTTACTTCTATCATATCTGCTTATATTAGACACTGGCCAAGTTTTAAACCACAGTGCAGCACCAGTGTTCTGCACAACCTCAATGCTTGCAAGCACTATCAGTGCAACAGTGAACACGGTTAAGGTTACGTGTAGATACATGCAGACACAAATGGAACTGTGTGTGCACCCATGTGTTTATAAGTGGGCTTATATGATTCTTGTGAACAACACTGGGAAAAGCAGGAAGCAGGTCACCAGGACCTGGATGCCAAATTGTCTACAGAAATCTCCTCCTTCAAACAGGCCCTGCAAAGCAGTAGGTTGAACTGTGGAAATGAAAGCTTTCAAACAGCAAGGATTACTGCATTAAACATCCATAGGAAACCTGTGTTGTGGGTATGGGCAAGTATGGCAGGAGGTCCAGGTGCACTGAGGAAAGGGGCACAGAAACTGCTGCTCCATCCCCACTGAAAACAAGGGCACCCTAGCACAAGCTTGCCCTACTTGTTTGCATCCAAGCCTTCATGTCTGCCATGCCACAGGATAAAACCTGCCTTATGTACATTAATACCTCTTTTAAACATTAATTTGACAACTGCCAACACAGCAGCTGCTCTATTCTTAATGAAAAACACAAAACATCATCCTGCCCTTCCACCTCTATTTCCTTTCCCAAGATTCACAATCCCTTGCACTAATTCACGCAGTCTTTTCCTTCCTCCTCCAAACAATTGCTAAGGATATAATTATCCTTCCATTCATTTTGCAGGAAGTATTCCCTCTTCTATAAGCTTTGCTCTTCACTCACCCCTTATACTTCTTCCTAGGTTACATCCCCATTGGCCTGTCACACCTTTTTCAGTAGCTACTTGTGACTCCATAAGCCAAGGTTAGTTCTGGGAACTGCTATCTGGGTACCCAGCGCTGCACCTGTAGCAGCAAGTGGCAGCAAGGACACACAGGGGACTTTTCTCCAGGACAGTGACCTACATTCTGTGCCCCTTAGCTGGTAACTTAGCCCTTACCTGAAAGCCTCTGGAAAAGTCAGGGAATGTTAGGGCTCTTTTGTTTATCAACCTAAGTATTCCAGGCCTGTGTTATGTAACACCAGTTGAAACAAGGCACTCTGTAAACCAAAACCAAGACACAACAGCTTGATGCAGGCAGCAGGGAAGGGACTACCAGGAAGCACCACTGTTCTGCATGGCCTCACCTTGGCATCTGCTTTCCTAGGGTCAAGCTTTCTGGAGGCACTGGCACAAAGCAGAGTTGCTTGAGGGGTCTCCAGGGGAGCAATGAAATGGCTTTGCCACCATCTGAGCATGAGAAAGAACACCAAGCAACTCCTCTGAAGAATGAAATGTCAGGGCAATGGTGACAGCACCTTAGAGCAGCCAGGGGCTGGCCAGCCATTCAGCATAGCAGCAAGGCTGGAACAGGCCAGGACAACCTTGGAGTAATATATTCTTTAGAATAAATAGAAATGCTCCCCTCTACTAGGACACACATCTCTAATGCAAACTGTGTTGAATATAAAGTAACTTCTATAACCAAACAAGATGGCTCTACTGCTTCCCAACTGCTTTCAGTTTTCTTTCTCAGTCATAAAGAAATAGAGGTACAAAGATTGTCAACTCTTAATAATTTCTTTCTTCCCACAACATGCACACTCACAGCAACCAGTGCCCTAGCAGAGACACTGCTGTTTACCAACATGCTGCATACAGCTCTTCAGCCAAGTTTTAGTTTATAGGACACAGTTGTTCCAAAAATTACATTAGAGTACATCAGGTGTTTTGGCAAAATATAAACACTTTTTGTTTGCCACAATTTACCATCTACATTGTTTTTCCAAAAGAATTTGTTTGTGCAGGTCAAGGAGTGAGTGAAAACAGATAGATGGACTCAGTCCTTCAGGTTGCACAACAGGGATGGAAGAGAAAAGGGATCCTATTGCTGCCAAGGGCTCAAGCATCCTGGATTTCCTGCTTGTCGTCAGTCTGTTGTAGTCCCTGGACTCCAGCTACATATCTTATAACCTTTTATACTTTAAAACATGAATATATGCACGAGTTTGGTCCTCACGTATATTTCCCTGCTGCCCTTGCTGTAGCCCAGCAATCTTCCATCTCTTGTCATGCTAGGAAGAAAGCTCAAACTCCATGTTTACCAGCTCTAACCACCACTTTCTAAAGCTCCCCCAGCACAAACAGATCTGCAACACGCGCACACTCCGCACAAGTCTTTAACACTAAAATTCTGTGAGACTGGCAGCCACCCAAGCAGTGTGGGCTATCTAGGGACAAGAATGACTGAAATGGCTCCTGGTTTGCAGGGACCAATGAGGAGACACCAGATTCCCAAATCAAAGATGTGGAACAGTTTAATCACAGAAATAAATTGGAAATACAGCTAAGCAATAAAACCTTCTTTCTTGAATGTAAATAGAGGCATGTGAAGGAAGGCCATAGAAACTTCAGGCTAATACATCTCCTCATAGCAAAGGCCAGTGGTTTCCTTAGTTGTCACACAGAGTTCATAGCCCAGACTACCACTGGGCTGCCACCACTTCTCTAAGAATGCAAGAGAAAGAGCTTGTTCTTTAAGAAACATTGTAGTCTACCCACTCATTAAGAAATGATTGCTCAAAGTAACAAATACCATTATCTGATCTCATGGCAAATTAAACACGAATATTCCCTAGAATCGCTTTGGTTCCATTGTGACCCTGGAAATACTCTGAACTACTTTTTGAAGGCTTAACAGCAAAAAATGCAAGAAAAGTTGCTTTCATGGACCACCCTATGCTCTGGATATGGACTGTATACCCTCTACTTAGAAATGCTGTCTTTAACTGGACACTACCCATCTTGGCATATTCTTTGAAGAATTTACTGGAATATGTGGAAAGTTGTGATAGAGAGTTTCTATTTTTATTTGAAACTGTCTCAAAGCTTTAAAAAGTTCAGAATGAGACAGCCAGCTCCCTCTCTATTAAATGATAGTGGTACATTTCCATTTGGATGACTGGGGAAAAGAAGAAAAAAAAAACAAAACAAAACAAAATCAAAACAAACACAAATACTCTAGACAAAAATACCCCAACCTGCACCCCAAATCCAGACTATATCAGGCAAGAGAGAATTATTAAACATTCACTAGAGCAGAAATAAAGTCTGAATTCTGCAAGTGGTAAGAAGTATTTGCATACCTTTTCCTAGAAAATGTATGCTAGCATGTGGGCTAACTGCACAAACCATCAGCTGAGCTTCCAGAGCAGAAAGCTGCCACACATCTGGTGATCCAACTACCTATTCACAGTTTAGATATATACCAAGCAGCAGCTCACTGCCTCCTGCAAGAATTTGGTTTAGCCAAGCAAAGCAAAACGTCTGGCACAAGAGGCAAGAGTAAAGGCACACACTGCAACTGTATAAAATGAGACCCATGCTTGTCTTCTTTGGATCCTGAAATTGGATCAGACACAACAAAGTCAACCTGGCTTGGTCAATGAGATGTTGTTTAAACAAAATTAAAAAGCCTTTTACTTCTCTAGATACATAATCTGAGAAATAGTTGAGATGCTACAGGTTAGTTGCAAAGCCCAATGTAATTAAAGGGTCATCACTGCTTTGCCCTTTCTACTGGCTTGAATCTCACCAGATGCAATCGCACACCCTTGCCGCTGGAAGAAAGCCATACCCCACCCCACACTGATGAAGTACCTTGGTTTTACCCAACTGCCATCCTTTCTTGCTGCTATCATAGATCTGAAGAAAGCCTGCACATACAGCTCTGCTGTTGTCTGAAAGACATGGCCCCTTCACAAGCATCTTGTACCTTAGAACCAAACAAAATCTCATGAGATTATGTATGACAGTAACACATCCCCCCTTCCCCTCCCTAATCTTTTAACTTTAATTATCCTCCTCCCGTTAGTCCTTCTTCCTCTGAGACCTCCCTTCTTCATGTTTGCCTTCCAATTTGGAAATTTCCGTCCCCCAGCCTTTATCTGTTCCTACCACACTGGCAGTTATTGTTGCAATCCCAGTAATAAAGTACAAACTAAACAGCATTTTTCAGTAAAGAACAACTGTCTCTCTGGAACACGTGCTTTCATTAGACACAAGTTATTCTGTTCAGTATAGTGGCGGCATTTAATGCTGCAAGAGACAAAGGAAGCAATATTCAATGGTCTCTTCTAGCCTTAAACTTCAAGAAATCCTTTTGATGCAGCCAATTAAAAGAAATAATCATACTTTCCAATTTTAATCATCAACTATATTGTCCATTAAAATTTGCTTCAGCCTATTTTCTTTTTACATGTTATGACCAGCTGGGCTTCACAGCATCACACAAGGAAATCTGTGACAAAGCTACAAAAATAAATTAAAAAAATGGACTGTCTGGCTATTTTTCCGTTCTGACTTTTACCCTAAAGGCAAGTCCCTGAAATGGCTTCCAAATCAGCCTATGATATGGGCAATAAGGCCATGGTTAGAAAAACATCCTACGAATGATTCATATCAGTAGTAGCAGTTATAGAGGGAATAAGCATATAGAATCATATACCTTGGGGCTGTTACAGAACGTGGTACAATGATAGCAATTACCTGCTGAGAAAATCCTGGAAAAGGCGCCGTATTGGGAAACCTGCTCTTCGAACTTTCACTGTCTCCAGCATCCCTGAGTACCGGAGCTGATTTAGCACCACATCTGAATTGAAGAGGTTTGGTGCCTACATAATGATCCAGATTGAAAAACAAGAAAGGAGACAGAAAGTGTTGATCGTGGTGTTATTTCTTTGCTGACTTGAACATTAACTGTTCCTCTGAGCACAGATAGTCACAATGGATAGTCATCCATTTCGCTGTAGAAAGTCAGCCCTGCACATGCAAGGTGAAAAGGGGGAAGTTTGGGTCAAGAGGAAAGCAACCTCACAACACTGCATGGTGCAGAAAAAGGGCCAAAAGGGAGTTGGGCAGATCCTGGAAAAAACCCAGTGTGCAGCCTGCTGTCATAGCTGGATTATGGCAGGAAAGCAATGATAACAATGCATTAACACATACAAAATGTAGAACTCTGGCTCAGTTCTGTTTGCAAGCTCTCTCCAGCCAAACTAGAGACAAATGGAGAATTCTTTTCTGGCATGAAACCCTCAGCAGGCTTTCTTCTGCCATATCACACACAGTTTCAAAACACACAAAGAAAAATTACCGGTTCAGAGCTCCCCACCCAATCTAGTTAGCAGTATATCCCCCCATCACAGTTCACAATACAAGCCAGAGCCAGTCTCTAAGCACTGTAAGTTGCTCATGAAGTATCCACCTCCTCTGCCTCAGAGCCAGGGATCTGCAGAAGACGCTTCCTACTGCAGAAGTCCTGCATTCCAGAACAAATTGTCTACAGGCACCACAAACAGGAGCAACTGCTGCTTCTGCCACAGCTCTGGACTCTGCACAAGCACAGGAAGAGGTAGGAATGGCTGTATCCTATCATACACAGCATAGTCTTTTAATCTGATTACCAGAAGGAGGGTGTATTTTTCCTCAACTATAAAACAACCAGAAGGAAAAAAGGAAGGGGAGGGGGAACTGCTCCTATCCTCAGCTTGGACCCTGATGGAGGCACCTGTCAGCTATTTGTGCAAGTGAGTGCTCATGAAGGTCTGTGTGCATGCATATGTTCTGCTGGAAGACAGACTTGCCTTTTCTGTATTTGGTTTGATGCAGCGGATGAAGAATGGGTTGGAAGTACTAAGCATGGCCATCAGGGAATGGAGAGAATCCTAAAAAGCAGAAAGACAAAACCCAAAGGATCTGTCACAATAGGAGGGAAAGGTGCTATGTTCGATGCAATAGGATCTTTGCACATCACTCCCATTCCTAATGCCCTTTGCCTACCAAAACTTCAGTAATGCAGGAGATCACTTCCTGTCCAAAACACACCCACACAGTTAGTTTACTCTAACGCTGTTTTAACATGGCCATCATTGTTCTCAGAGCTGTACAGCTGATGTGAGTTATTTTTACAAGTCTCTCAAACTTTAAATATAGGAACCTAAAACTGTGAAACTAACAGAAGATTTGCAGACAATCTAGGGGCTGAGATTCATACTTGCAAGGTCCCCCCAGTAAGGTTTTATTGAAATTGCCACTATGTCTGTAAAAGATATGGCCTAAAATGACACATACACTTAGCTGAAACACCAAACCAACAGGGAAGATCTAAGAACCTCAAGAACTTCATACACTTAGCAAAATATTCTTTTCTTCTTCCACTCTGATCAGTCTTAGCATCTCACATTTCACACCAAAGAGAAATCCTTCGGGCAGTGGCACTGTCTTTTTTTAGAACTACAAAATTCCTTCACATTTCCAGTGTTGGACACAAAACAAGGATGAATGACTCCTCTTGGCTGCAGGCATTGCTTTACCCATCTGCTCCTCCCCAGAAGCCTGCTGCTCTCTTGGAAAACATCCTACCCTGAACTGGGAACTGACAGTCGGTCTGCGCCTCTGGGTGCCCATCTTCAGTGTCTCTTCACTGCACTGGCTGCAGACTCTTTCGAAAAGGTCATAGATGAAGTCCAGTCTAGGGGAGAAGAAAAGAACTGAAGGACATGCAAGACACCCACCACCTGTGAGAAGATGGCTGTCATTCTCAGCTACTGCTCTTGTCCTAGTGTGAGCCACCTCATTTTTATTCTTGCTGTGTCGCAGAGAGTGGCTGCAGGATGCAGTTCAGCTGTGCACTTCAGTGAGGAAATTAATACTTTCCATGTGGCTGCCCAGATCCTGTGGGCTGCCCTGTATGCCACACTCAGCTGCAAAACCAGAAACTCCATCTCATGCTGTCAAGTAGGATATTACACAAAGGGAGATCTCCATTCTGCACTGAGAAGGACATCTCCTTCGAGCTATATGCCCCCAGGTGAAACTACCTTGAAGATACTCCAGCTAGACTGTGCTGTCACACCCCTCCTGACCTAGCTTTCATGGCTAGCACACAACATGCTCATGCAATTGCAACCACAGCTTTTCTGTGGCTAACGGACTTCTAGAGCTACCCTCAGTGCAGGTCAGCTCTGGGGAATCTTCCACCGTTTTGACACTCCTTAGACAGTGGTTTTTATGAAGCTGCACAAAATTCTCCAGCACTGATTGTGCCTGTTTATTGTTATGACTGCTTCTAGCAGAATTTCCCTTTCTGACTTGTTGAAAAACCTTGAGTTCTTCTATTATGGTGGACAATGACAACCACAATTCCGGCTTCAAGACCTGTGTAAAATGTTCCCAAGACGCCACTGTTCAAGTAAGGCAGCTATGAGCAGCTCTACTCTCAGCTCCCTCAGGTTGTTTCAAGGGTGCTCACAGTGCAAACTGCAGCAGGCTTCAGAGAAGATGCAGTTTTGAAACAGTTTCATCAGGCTGAAGCCCAGAGGCAATACATGGACTGAGGTAAGAGGCATGTGGTAGAGTTGCTACTCAAAAACTTCTAGAGTCCTCCAAATTATTAAATGCTTCTCTCCTTCTATTAGGCACCACCTCTGTCTTTCAGACTTGCTGAAGGACAACATCAGCTCAATTCTCTAGGGTCATGTTGCAGCAGTGGCATATAATAGCAAGGGCCATGCCTGGTCCCACAGCAAAGGCTCAGTCTGCTCAGGATAAGGACAGAACCTCTCCACTAACAAGAAGGCTGGAAAACAAGCAGTCTTTATACAGAGGCTGGCATTTGACAGCATGGCAGAGTCTTGACTCATTCAGGGCAAATTTGCCATTATTAGGACAGGGAGGTAAGAGGAAGAAGAGGAATAGGAGAAGAGAGGAGGGAGAAAACCAACACTGCCTGGAGGGATTTCCAGCGTGCTTTTATAGCTTTTTTCAAAACTGGGACAACAGTACTGGTTAAATCTGTGCTCATCTGGCTTCTCCAGCTTTCCTTTCTTTTGCCAGGACACTGAAGCACAAACTGAAGAATGATGCCTGATGCTCAGACAAAAGCAACTGCTTTCCTTGGTCTAGTTATTACACAAAGTGGCTTAGTACAGCCCAACAGATGTGGCCTCCTCACAAGCATAACAAGGTCATACCTGCTGTCTTTCAGCATGTTTAAAATGTCATCTCGAAAGGTGTCTCTATTCTTCTCCAGAAAGCCTCTCACATCATAGAGCACCTGCAACGCAGAGAGACGCTAGAACAGTCTGTACAAATCATTAAGCGCTTCTACATTAACAATTCAATATACAAGCCCTCCAGCAGAGCTACAAAGAAATGCTGCAAGCATGTGCCAAGATACAAATTTTTGGGGTCAAAGAGCTCCAGAGTTCCTCAGTTAATGGCAAGAAAGTGGATTTTAGCCATCAATTATTAAAAAAAAATCAAAACACAAAACACAAAAAAACCCTAAACCTCAAAACCAGAAGCCAAAGTGAAACAGCTGCAGAGATTTGCCTGTGGTGTGAGAGCAGGGAAATCCTCTGCAAGGTGTGAGGAACTCCATTCATTTCAGGAAATACTAACTATGCCACCCAGTGCTCTGACGTCCCCGCCACTAGTGCTCTGCAGATATGATTCTAGGAGGTTAGCCCTCTCTTGACACATCTCCATCTGCTCCATATCCCTCTACAACAAAGAGCAGCATTTAACCTTGGAGGCTTGGAGACTTTTTCCTTTTTGCAATAGGTATTTAGCCTTTTCTCCTCCTCCCGAAAAGCCAAATTATCCTTGTGACTTTTACTTTGGGTTTTGCTTGTGAATGTGAAAAAAAAGACAACATAAGTAACAGAAGTAAGGAGGATTTTATCTCCCAAATCAAAACTTAGCTGAGAAACTCAAACAAATGTCCAAGCTGGAGAATATAAGTACTGGAGAATACCATGCTAATTTAAGCCCATCACACTCCCTGTGATCTGGTATGGGGCACTAACTGTTCAGAAACACAAACAGCTCTGGGAGATATTCCTGATTTTTAAAACCTAAGCTGCAGGACCACACACCCAAGATACACCAAGCATCTCACACCATGAACACCTACCTCACCAGCATAGTGTCTTATTCCAAACTGATGGTCTGTTACCCGAGGCTTTACATAGTAGTGGTTGCTCTGAAATGAAAGAAAAAGAAGCCTTCTTATAATGCCAGTGTAAGAATAAATATGCCCAGTCAGAAATTCTGCCATGACTATGACAACGCTGGGATGGGGAAGGACCGTAGCTCTTGCAGAGCCCAACTGCATCTGCTGCTGCTATCTGCAGCTACATCACAAATACAGTATTCCAATAAGATGGAAAAATCCAGCCCTTCAAGGCATTCCTCATGTGAGCAAGGGCTTGCAGAATCAAGGTTGGGCAGGCATGCCATGGATGAAATGTTAATTCTTGCATGTCTGAAACCTGAGTAGACTAGGCTCCACACAAACTATGTGGTGCAGGACACAGGATCAGGATGCAGGGAAGCTGGCAGCTTAGCAGAACTCCTACACACCTCTACTTTGTCAAAGAAAAGATAATACCAATCTCCTGTCTTCCTCTATATTTCATCTGTCTTTGCATTTCTCTTCCCCTTTTTCAATATTAACTTTCCCTTTCTCTTACTATCTGTTATACTACCTCATTCCCCTCCTCCTTTCTTTGTTCTATGAAAAACATTAGCTATATAGGAACAGGCATGCTGCTTGAGACCAACGGTCCATCCAGCTGAGGATTCTGCATCCAGCAGTGGTTATGTAGGGTAGAGTAACGAACAAGGCAAGCAAATGATACTTTCAGCCTAATGCTCTCTTGAACTCCAATTATATTCACGCAGTCTCCCTAGCTAGAAACTCCAAGTAGATTTCTCTTTGAAATATTTGCCCATTCCATGCAGACTTCTCGCATCCAGAATGTCCTTTCGGAGGAAGCACTCAACCAATCGCACAGGGAAATAGAGCCTGACTCCAGTTAGTGCCACTTGTCTTCCATGGGCCATGTATTACTTTTAAACCCATCACATCCTACCTAAGTAATTTTTCTCCACACTGCAGGCTTCCTTCAACATAGTTTTACATAACACTGAAGCTACCCCAGACTTGTTGCTGATCAGATCTGATATAACCCCTTCTTGAGGGGAGGAGCCCAATGGTGTACACTGTTCAAAGCACAGCTGATCCATGGATTATACAGAGGTATGACAATGTTTTCTGCTTCTAATCTGTTTCTTTCCTAGGAATTTCTAATACTTGATCTGGGCTTCTTATTACTATTGAGCTGATGTTTCCATGGAACTATCCACCACAGCCTTTGTCTGGGAGATTGCTGCTCCTGAATAGCAGCAACCAGCTCAGGCCCATCATTTCAAACATGAAACTGAGACTGTTTTCCTTCAGGCACACCATTTTACGTTTATCTACACTGCTTTTCATCATCATTTTACAACCAAATCAGTTTCGTAAGGCACCTCGCAGTTTAGCCTAACCCTGTAAACCATGAAAAAACTTCCACTTCAGTGCTCATACAAGATGGAGTCTTATAGGCATCACTCCACAGAGATAACTGGCCATTTACATTCTGTGAATTTACCCAGTAGTGATATATGGATTACAAGCCTATAATTTCTGAGAATATTTTCTAGAAATTGAAATAATTTCCCACCTTCTCAGATACAAGTACAAAGAAAATCTGAAGTATGATGTTACATAATAATGTTAGTAACTCAGGTCTCATCTTCAAGTTCTTTTAGCGGTATCAGGTGGATGGCTTCTGACCCTGATAATTTGTTATTGCTATTGAAAACATTTTCATTGCCTTTTTCCTTTTCATGTTAACCTAATTTCTTTGTTCTTCTCTTCCCCCATCCAGTCATCTTTTTCCAGCCCCAAATTCCCTCTTTTCCACTCCAAACATGACCATTACTCTCTCATGTTGATGGGCACCCTCCTCTCACTCTTTACCAAACCTTTATACTTCATCCATGCCTACAACACTTCTGGTTCCTTCTCCCATCTCCCCTATTGCTCCTCTTCCCAGTTGTATCAGAGGTCATATTCTCTTAAATCCCAGCTCTATGCTTTTCCTCCTTAAGCCTATTGGAATCCACAGAAAACACGGAGAAGAGGGCTTGTTTTGTTATAATGTCCTTCAGGCTTTCCATGGGCTGAATGCCTTCCAGTGCTCTTCTAGCTAGCACTAGAGACTTTTACCAGGTACAAATGACGCTGTCACCTTCAAAAAATGCAAACTCTACAGCACTATCTATCTACTTCATCATTCCGCCTTGCACTTCAACTCCTCAGCCTCTTCCATCTCTCATAGGGTTCCATGTTAACTGCTATCCCCTCAAAGCAGACAGAGGTGATGCTATGAACAGCTTAATGAAAAGGCTACTTAAAGCACAGAAATCACCAAAAATAGCAACCAAAATGTCGTGGGACGCAAGGGAATGCAAAATAATACTGATAGTCTCATGCTGCTGTACAATAAACCACAGGTACCTTCTTACCAAGGGAACTGCATTCTAGTCTGATTATTTATCTCAGAAAAGAATAGAGAAAATATGCAGAGAAATTCAGAGACAAACAGCAGAAAGAAAGAGGAGCTTTGAAATTTCTCCATTTGGAGACAAACTGAGGAGTTTGGGACAGTTCAGAAATAAAATTCAAAAGAAGTGATGTAATAAAAATATTCATAAGTACTTTATTAAAAGTTAACAAAATACCAGCAATGATAAAAAAATAAGAAGGTAAATCAAGCATTCCCATACACCTACATAATACAAGGAAAAGCTACAGCAGACTAAACTGAAGGCATTGATTTAAGCCTAAAGAAAGGAAATACTTCCACAAAACTATGTGTAAGCAGCCAACCAGAAATTATTGATATTGTATCCAATTTGTAGTCATGAGTATTACTAGCAGAGTTAGATACAAATATGAAAAATAAGAATATCTGCATCCATACAAATTAAAAAAAAAAAATTCAGATAAAGGATACAAACTTGCGCATTTTCAGACTTGAATGAAGCCTGAGTTGGAAGATTAGGAAACATTAGCTGACTATGTTCTTACTACAGTAGTAAATTATTCCGTATGTCTCTGCTACACGGTTTCATTTGCTTTGTTTTCAGTCTATTTTCTATTAAGAAGAACTATGCTGGCTGTACCAGAGACAAGGTAAGAGATTGCTACAGTGATCACGCTGTGGTTTCTGTGTCCCCAGGGTAACTTTCAGACCTGCATGAAAAATCCTTCTACTCCTGTGTCCAAAATGCAAGAAAGAGGAGGAAAGAATTTAATTAATTAGGAACAGTAAGAAAGCTTTCATTAAAAGTCATGAGGCAAAAGCTGTCCCCAGCCCCAGGAGACAAAGATCTGACATGCTCTGGAGCAGACGCCTGTGAGTCAGCTGGCAAGAGAAACCCATGCACACTGTGCAGCAGCATCCTGTGCCTGGGGTGCTGCCTCATGTCCCATTGCAGACCAGCAGAATCTGACCTCCATCCCATGCTACAGATTCAAATCTCCTCTACCCACAGGCTGTGGAACGCACAATCCCTCCCTCTATATGCGCAAGTGACCATTTTCAGGTTTCGGGCCTAAGGCATTTTAAATTTCTTGCACAAAGCACATATTTTATATCAACAAAACGTTCACTTTTAGTTTTGAAATGCTGATGGGGCTAACATACTGATCTTTTGTCTGCCAGGTTATTTTATTACTTACCATATGCTGGCTGTGAAGTTTTTCCAGAAGGGTGTTGTCTGTGCCTTTGGGGAATCGACTCTCTTCATTCACCAAAGCCAGTAGACCCAGTTTCTACAGCCGAACAAGAGAGGGGCTTTTACAGTCATCAAAAGCTCTAACTACACAGCACCAAGCCAAGAGCTGGAGTTCTGGACAGCACATTGAGCAACAGTCCCTGAGTTATACCCAGCAAAGCTTCATCTGAAAGCAGAATTCTGGCCAGTCAATGCATTCCGCAAGCAGAACATAAGTGGAGATTATTTACTAAAAATTCACATTAAGGTTTTACTTAAACACTGCTCCCTGTCTAAAACTATGACACCCTCCCTAAGCTTACTCTCAACAATGAGCAGAGATCTCTTTTCTTGAGTTGGTACTATGGCTAGAACAGCTCATACTTTTGCCAGGTCATGATGGGAAAAGGATCTAAGCAACTACCTTTTTTTAAAAGCAGGAAACCCTAAGGAGGGTTTCAAGACAATCAGCAGTCCTCACTGTGATCCCTTACAAACCATCACAGATAACTGCTCACCTTCTCGATAAGGTCCAGGCACTCTGCATTATCCATCCAGTCAATGGCTTCCCAGTTTATCCCTTCCCTGACAGTCAAGAACAAACAGAAGAAAGATGTGAAATGGAAGATCCAGTGCCCTGGAGGTGCAGGACAATAGAATTAGCTGAGCATGGCAGCTGTCCCAGGACTCAAGACAATTTGCAGGAATTAGGCTTTGCCATGTATGAGGAAAAAGAATAGGACACAGAATGCACTGGCTGACACAAGGAGATGGAAGTAGGAGACAGCCTTTCTTAGCCATCCCAGTGTTTTAGACTGATGCTTATCTTGTAGTCATTCAGCAAATTCCACACCAAGCAGTAAGAAACTGTAGTTGCTCTCAGTTGTTCTTTCAGGAGTGATGAGCATCAGGCCAAGTGGTGGTCACGATGGACAGCTTGTTACACAGCTTCAAGAGTCAACTGCTTACCCACCAATCTGGAAAGCAGACCTGAAGCACATCCACCAGAAGACTGAGCCATAATTTATGAGTCCACCCAAAGAAGAGACAGGAACAACTTTTCAGGGAGAGTTTTGAAGAGGATGAGACAGATAAGCTTTGGTCTGACATGCAGGGGACCTGCAGGGTGACTCTGCATCTTTCAGAATGAGAGCTCCAGTAGGCACAGCAGTGTGGTAAGCGTGCTTCAAAAATTATGCATGTAATTCTGTAAATCTGTGCTGAATGTGTATTCCCCTCTCTTACCACCTTCTTATACTCCCATAATACAGGCCATTTCTGGTTTCAGAATTCAGAGAAGCCTTGGAATAACTCTTGCACAGGAATCCAAGGAAGACTATAGGCTATGTGTGAAGCTACTTAATGACATTCTGATACAGACACCTTTCAGGTGAAGGCTAACATTTTGAAGATAGTGAAGCTGTTGTCTACAAACCCTTCAGCCTTGGCTTTGTACTTTCAGGTTCAAAGCATTCAGAAACTGTGGGCAACAGTTGGAAGCAACAAACTGGAGTAATTTCTGAAGAAACGAAAGAATTATCTATCCCTCACAGGGAATGAAATATCTTAACCACTTAATGACAAAAAATCAGTTCACAGTGTTTCAGATTTTTGCAACAATGGGTGTCAGAGGAGCCTTTTTTTTTTTTTTTTTTTTACAAAAAGACCTCTTGGATTCCTTCTAAGAGCAAGAAGACCTTCCAGAATTGAAGGGAGCAGAGTTTTCCGAAGCAAATCAAAATCACAAATGAATCAAGTTGTCTCTAGTGCCACAGACCCCTTATCTAATCAAATGGTGAAATACACTGAGCTATTTACTAAACCTGAGGAAGCAGAGCTGTTACTCTGACAGATGAGCTTTAAACACCTCATCCTAGAATAAATTGATGAACAATGAAATTCTCTTGTTCTTTCCAAAGTTCAGCTGCAGAAGTTATACTCCTATGTAATCATCAGGAAAAAATCTTTTGTCACTATGATACCATTCTTAACACAAACTTCCTGCAATGGTGGAATTGGCCTGAGAATTGAGTGCATAAATAGCCTTGCAGTTTTGTAATCTTCAGCATTTCATGAATTGCCTATTCAACTGTCTCCTTTTACAAGGCTGCTGTCATTTGCCCTTGCTGACCCTATTCAATTGCTTCATTCACAAACATAAAGGCTTCTGTTTCAGAGCAAGAACAGAAGTATTTGTCTAGCAGCCTTCTCTAGAAGCAGAAATAATCTAGAACATCCAGGTACTTCACAAAATAATCACAAAACAATCCAACATGAAGCCCACAGAAGTAAAACAGCTGTGCAGAAGGCCCCATACTCTTTAAACTCAGGAAACAGCCTGAATTAAATTTCCTTGCTGAGGAAAAGAACTCTTTTCATAGAGATAGGAATCTCTAGGACAGAAAGACTTGTCAGCTGTCTAACATCTATCTTTAGGGACTTTACTTTTTGCACACCAAATTCTAGCTGCATAACACCACCACTACCTTAGGTAAATCATTACTGAAATCAGTAACAAGGCCAGTGACCATGTGTTCTAATTGGTTAAAGCCCACAGTCTTCTCATTCAGCTGAGAGACAGAAGGAAATCTGGACTTTCTAAATACTGTAAGAGAGAAAGCTTTTCTTGGAGACAAGTGACCTACCTATGCTGGAAAAGCACAGAGATACATCCACAGTCAGAGTTGCACTAAGGTCCAGATGCCTTTCCTGCCTTAGAGGTAGGGACGGGACAGCACAAAGGAGGAATGATGTCCTCCATTCAACCACCCATTAAAGAAATAGGGCCCTGCTCCCTCTGTTTGTCACCTGTTGTACTCCAGCTGCTCCAAGGAGAAGATATGTTTGTTGAAATATTCCTGGAGTTTTTCATTTGCATAGTTAATATTAAACTGCTCAAAACGATTCACCTGTAAGAAGAAACAAAGATTATAAAACTTAATTTAAGCTGGGCTCTAAAAGAATCTGTAGCAGCGATGGGGAAGGTGCCAGACTTGGTTGGAATAAAGCCAGAGAGCATAGGAGCAAGGGGTATCAGATGGACCTGAGAAGGACAGTATGGGAAGTGCCCTAGGAAAACAGCCTTTGTAGCTGGTTCATTCAATGCAAGGTTCATTCACTAGGCCTAAATGGTAGTAAAGGATGCTAAAGACAATCACATTTCTCTTCTTCTTAGGAAGAAAGAAATATAATTCCATTAGTGTTAGGTCACTAGGCTTGCTCTTCTGTGAAATATCAAAGCAGTCACTATACAGCTGTTCAACATTCATCCCTCATCAGCTGCAGTCAGAAGCATTACACAAAGATTCTTAACACAAAGCAAAACACATGTAAATGAACATCGTGCATGTAGAAGTTGGACATTTAATTTGTACACAAGTCAAAAATTCAGTATTATCTATCACAGTACATCTGCTTCTGGCCTGTGTCACAAACCAGACCTTGAATATCAGTCTACGTTAATGCAGGTAGCAGATATGGGCAGCTAACATATCTTGCCGCTTTCAGGGGTAAGTGGCAGTGGAGACATCCCAGGATGCTCTGTTGTAACCTAAACATGATACAAACCAACCAAAATTCCTTCCTGTATGGGCTGACATCTACCAGACCAACGCACCCTGCAAAGGCAAAATCCTGACCTGAAAGTTCTCGAAGCCAAAGATATCCAGGATGCCCACAGACTTAAAGTTTTCCTTGCCTTTGATCTTCGTATTAATCTTGCTAATGAGCCATGAAAAACACTGGGAATAGAGCGCCATAGAGAGGGAGTCCCTGGAGTCAGCTGCCTGTAAATAGAAAATATGAGTCACAGGGAGATGAGAAGGCATAAGGGGCACCACAAACCTCTGTGGGACTTCAGGTTCCTCCTCTCCTCTTCAGATGTCTCTCCTGGTTGTGTATGGTGCATTGTTTATATGTACAATGAACATTCAAGTTTGGAAATAGCCCAGCCACACACAGATGTAGTATGTATGACCTTTGGGTAACTGAACTTGAAAGCCTGAAGGAAGAAGCAAATTCACTGACATCTTTTGGAACAAGTGCTGGGGCAGGGAAGGTAGCAAAATACCTCATGACTAAACTGCAGCAGACATTTGCATGACCTGAGCCAACATTTGCAGAGACAGGCAAGGTATCTCGGTTCAGTACTCCTATTAGAGCTGTCAACTGGGTGTCTGCTCAGTTTTTCAAAAACTGGTAGGGTAGGATTTAATAGAGTATTCTGTCACCCAGCTACCCTCAAAAATCCCCTCTCCAACACTTTCCTGCAAACAGTATTATCTTACTGCAAGCCAGGTAGACTGGCCAACAGCCCGGACACATGCCCCAAGAAGAGTATGGGTTGAGAGATCTTTCTGGAGCTGACTCAGCATCTCATGCAGTGATCATAATGAAATGTCACAGGTGGAAAAAAACCCCTGAATTACAACAGCTAATAGGCAGTAGATAGCTAGGTGTATGCAAGTGTGTGGATCAATGTCCGAAACAGAACTACTGAAATACCAAGCAAAAGCCTACTACTTAACAGCTGTAACAGGAATGGGCTGGTTCTAAATTTTGGTAACATTTGAACTAAGCAAAAGGGGCACACCGAAATCTCCCAGTTAATAAAGAGACATGAGACACAACCACAAATTAAGAGGCTGACTGCACGTTTTCCTTCTGTACATAGATTATTTAGACTGGAAACCAGGGTTTAGGGTCCTGGAAAGAAGAGGAAGCCAAAAATAAGGGTTCCCAAAAATAAGCCATGATCCCAGAGAGTAGTAAAAGGGGCCAGGAAGGAAGATGGCAAAGACCTTGACTGGAAGAAAGATGCTGGAAGTGGAGAAGGATCCTGGAGATCAGAGACATGTGGAGACAAATGTCAGGGTATGCCCAAGGACCTTGCCTTGTAGCTCCTGAGACTGGTAACTGCAAGGAGCTACACAACATGAACCAACACAGCTTTCTGCCCAACCTTCCTGGACAAGTAGCAATCTCCCAACTGGGAAAAGAAGTTGACATCTAATGAACATAATGCTGAGGGGTAAGTGTGCAAGTATGTGGAATAATCAAGTAGTGTAAAAGCTATAATCTGGTCATTTCAGAAATAAACTGCAGTATCTAGGTTGCTTAATCTGTCTCACCTGTGACACCAGGTTAATTCCTTCAGTGGGCCTGACCCGCAATGACAGATCTTATAAATGCACCCTCATGCTCTTCAGTTCTGCAAGCCTGAATAACGGGACCTCTTCCCTTCTGCTTTGCTAATGGCACAGGCCAACTGACTCTGAATCCTCCCAGCCCCTCTCAGCAAGCTGCTTAGGCTCAGCCTGCAAGATCCTGCTTTTCACTGAATCTCACCTTTTTTTTTGCTCCTTTCTATTCCTGGGTTGTACGTTCTCTCCAGCAGCCCAAGGCTGAGGACACACAGCAACCTCTCTTCTCCACAGAAGAGAACATTTCAAACCGTGGGCACACACACCTTTTCTGGGTACTTTTTCTCTCTACCAGATGGTCTGTCTTATTAGTTGGGACTGAGGATACCCTCAAGGCCATGCCTCTGCACTGTCTCTGGCTACACAGCTAGTTGGACTCATTTTTCAGGAACAGTACCTCCCCATACAGCTGTAAGCAAAGCTCCCTTCCCCACAATATTGCGCAAATGAGATTCTCAAAGGCTCCTTTCATTCTCCCAGCTTTGCCTGCTTTCAGACCAGTTCATCCATTCAGCCCACTGAAATGTCAAAGCTCAGATGGGTAACAAGCCCATTACATAATGAGAAATCCCTGGCAGCTCTATCAATGCCTTCTCAGAACAAGTGGGAATAGGTGGGCACCACACACGATGGCTTAAGCCCAAACAGTCTGTACAGACCCAGTGCTCAGTGCAACAGGCTCACCCACTTGCTCACTTCTCCACCAGTGGATGCTCCATGTGTGAGCATCCACTTGCATTATAATCATTTTCTTGCAGTCTTAGTACTGCACCGGGCTGCAAGCAGTAAGTGTGGGGTCCAACAGGAATAGCTATAGTATAACAGAAACCTCTGTTCTGGGAGATTTTTGTGAATCCTACAACTGCACACCGTTGCTCTGGGCTGCATAAGGTATATCTGGCATTATTTGTTATCCATCCTTGTGCACTGATATGGAAAATTGTAGCTTATTTGGGACAGATAGCCGAGAAGAGAAACTGTGGTACTGGATACTGAGGGTATCTACCACAGACTATATACTGAAAAATTATTTTCACACAATTTCATTGCAAAGAAAGGTGACAGATTATGAAAAAAACCACAAACCACACACACAAAAAAACCCCAAACCAAACAAAAAAAAAAAAAAAAAACAAAAAAACCAAAAAACCAAACTATTTCTTAAAGGCAAAGCTCAGTTTGTGATATATTAGCAGGTGTGTTCACAGCAAGAAAAGAAGTGACTACTTTGCTGTAATGAGCACTGCTGAGGCTTCAGCTTGAACACGGTGTCCAGTTAGGGTCACTCCACTTCTTGAAAGACGTGGGAAAACAGAGACAGAAGAAGAAGAAGAGATTTAGAAAATTACTTACAAGGAAACATCGAAGGAACTGGATTGTTTAGCTTAGAAAAGAGAACATCACATGAAAAACTTCACAGAAGCGGAAGCTTATAAGGTGGACAGCTGGGATGTCAAAGGTAATCTAAATATGAGGAAAATCTTTTCAGTTCCAGACTCCACTGCAGCTACAGCAGGATACTTAAAGAGGCTGTGAAATTCCTTCCATGGGAAATCTGAAGGAAAGTTAGACAGACATCCGTCAGAGAGAGCCTAGTAACCCTGGTTTCTCTGACAGTGTAGGGGTTGGATTCATAACCCTCTGCAGTCCATGCCAGCACAAGATTTCCATTACAGATGTTAATTTTGCTATAACATGATGCTTCTTCCATCCTAGCAATATTGTTCCTTGTTTCCCAGTGTCTTGCATCTTATTAATGACAGAAGATTTTCTACAGTTAGCTGTGCATGGACCTAAAACACCAAGAGTGCCCTCAACTGATCAGCAATACAAAAGTTAAAGTTAGTAGGCACAACGCTGTGATGAACCACAGAGAAATGTAATAGATAAGCAGGACTGGCTCCAGCACACAGTACAGGTTCAGAAGATAAGAACTACATATCAATTTATTTGGTCCCCTTTTGTGGCTGTACGGATACAAAGAAGCTACTGAGGGGTAGCAATCTACTATCTGCCCAATGTTTCATGGTAACTGTGTGCAAGCTTTTTTTTTTTGCAGTAAATGCAGCTTAACCTGGGAGTTTTGCAAGGTAAAAGCACGCACATGTGCAATTACCCCAAAACATCTGATCTACCTTTTGCATGACAGAAGTGTGACCTAATTCTAGGTGAGCGAAAGGTGACTTAAAACCAGTATTGTGCATTGCTATTTGCAAATGAACTCCCCTGTAAAGCCTAAAAAGCAGAGTCAACACTGGGACCTGAACTACCAGTGAGGGCAAAATACTTGAGGACACAGGTGAGCACCTAGGGAGTGTAACAGGAAGCCCTAAGCTTCAATGGATGATACAGGAGGAAGAGAGAGGGTCTGGAAATGCAGAAGTGGCAGAAGCAGCACTGGGCACTTACCTGCTCCACAGTGAGAGGGGAGCTGATCTCTTCCCCACGCAGAATCATGGACCTCTGTGTCAGTACTTCAGAAAGCTGAAAGGCATCTAAGCCCAGGAGGTCACTGGCAATGTTCAGCACTGATGACAAAGGAGGACACACTTTTTTTTCCTCTGGATGGATCCCCATCATTCATGGGGGATCCATATTCTACAGCTCAGCAAGGAAATCCCAGGGACTTCTACAAGGCAAGTGACTAAAGCCCAGCACAAAACACACTCCTCTTTACTTAATTCTCTTTGGCATACTCAAAGCTATAAGCTCCAGTATAAGGAAGGGTCAGCATCTGTTACTGGCCACAGTCAGACACTCATGTAAGTCAGCCTTTCTGCTGACAACCAGAAGAGCAAAGCACTGTGTAAAGATCAGCACCAGTAAAATATTTATTGAATGAGAAGATGTGTTTTCCTAAGGGCACAGTAGTGCCATCTGAGAGTGGGATTACTAAACTTGAATGTCAAGAAGACGGGCAATTAACTTAAGACTTGAAGCATTTGTAATATATATTTATTGCTTCTGTCTGTTTAGGGATTCACTTTACCAGACCAGCTCAGCTTGCATAATTGTAACACAGTGCACACTAGCAGATACTCAAAGGAAGATGTAGGGAAGTCTCTTAACAGACTACTTTTAACTCAAAATCCTCTATGTTCTTATTTCTTTCAGCTTTTTCAATGCAAAAGAGAAGACATGAGACTGTAGTCAGTCTGAGAGTATCCAGGACAACAAATGGATTACATGGCCACAGCCCAACTAAATCATATCAGTGCTTTAGAGCCATGCATCCTGTGGCAATGGTTTTGCAGGGTTAAACTGCAGAGAAACTGCTCGCAAAGGCACTGCAGATCAGCATAGCTGAGGAAGAAAGGACAATGGAGTGAGCTTTACTGGGGACCTTACAGGGCTTTGAATGGTTTACCAAGTTGCTGGGGTCACACTTACCGGCTTTTGTTGTGACCTGGGCCCCGCCAGCTGTCATGAATTCAACATTTCCCAAATGAAGAGTGCCAGAAAGAAGTCTGAAGATGTCTCTGATTTCTTCAGTGCTGAAGTCCACCACCTTCATGGCAGTCTAAGCAAAACCATACTGCTAATGTTGGCTGTACATACAGCCACAGTACAATGCAACCACCACACCTATCCCCAGCCTGTGTAAGATGTAAACCTCAGAATTATATTAATCACGAATCAAAGAGAAATGGAACAGCACAGACGCTCTCTAAGCTACACATCTGTTAATGATCTTCATTGTCTCCCATTCTCTCCATCATTTATTCTATCCCCATCTAAAGCAGGTGGATATTTGCCCTGTCCTCAAGCTGGAGTTTGCTGCTGCTGTTGCCTGTCACAGGAAGAACATGTTTGTGCCTGTGTGAGGAAATCCTTTCCTGAACACTGACAGTACAGGTTATAGATGTCACCGGACTGCTTCTACATTCTGCTTTATTGTCTTCCCTGGAGGCGGAATTCTTATTTGATCCAGGTAAACCCCTTAATTTCCTCTATCTTAGAATAATAGATTAATGCAGCAAGATTTAAAACCAGGCTTTCAGCATTGACTGCTAGATGGTTAAAACCAGGTTACCAGATAATGAGCAAGTATGGTACATTCCCTCTGCTTAGTGCGTGCATGTGAGCCTAGGTTCTTGGGGCATAAATTGACATTGAAAGGTAAGACCTAGTTTTCACACATTCACTCTGCCAGTGGGGCGCTTCAGGATTCTAGTTCCCTTCTTTACTCCAGTTGTCTCCTCAGCTGAAGTATAAATCCCATGTTGCTATTGAAACCTCTGCTGTGCAGGAGACATTTCTTTCCCTTAACTCATACTTACATAGGACCTACTGAAATCCTAAGCTGACTCCTCTCAGCTTGCCTATCTGGTTTCACCTACATTACTAAAGCCTTTTGACCAATAACCACTTATCAAACAAAACATGAATTGCATACTCATCCTGCTAAACCCATAGCCTCTGGTAAAGTTACAGATGTCTACTGAAATTTGTGTGATATTTCAGAATATGGTATTTGCACAGGTGATACAACTTCACCAGAACATTTCAGGAGAACACTACCTTCAGACCAAACTGTTCCCCTTCTAATGGTCCATGTGAGATTTCCTGCACCAGGCCATCTAGAGGGCTCCCAGGAACCATTATGGGGTGGAGTTTATGCTCCCCAAAGTCTACGTCATTCTAAATTATTATTCATCCTTGACTGCTTCCCCAATTCCCCCATTTCTGTATAGAAAAACCACTTTTTGAGCCTTGTTTTTACCATAAAAAGATAGAGCTGAATTTCAGACTGGTTGCACACCATATTTTGTCTTAGGACAAATAAATTCTGCCTGTGGGATCTAGACCCTGCAGCACGTTTAGCCCATGAGACTGTGCTCAGAAGTTCAGGAGGAGTTAGGACAAGACTCACCATGACCTTACTGAACATCTCTACGTCATTCAGGTTCTCATCAGTCACACAACCAGACTGGTTCAAGTAGTGGTAACTCTCTGGCTCAGAGAGGAAGAGGCTCTCTGCAACAGAGGAAAGAGAAGTAGGGAGGAGAAAGACAACAATTTATACAGCAGTCAGCCTTTTCACTCTATGATCTTTGACCCTTAAAACAGTGCGTATGTTTACCACAGGGAGAATTCATCTGAACAGATTCCTTATCCCTCAAAACCCACACCTAGACAACGAATGCATTGGGGAAGGAAAAGAGGAGGTGTGTGGTAACAAAGCTTGCAGATGGTATGCAAAATGATTTAGAACATTCAAATCCCAAGCTGCAGACTTGCAGAATAATGCTTTAATACTGAATTGTCACAGAAAAATAACAGAAGATTAAATTCAATCTCATAAAGTGTACAGAAAAATAGTCTTAACCATACACATACAGTAAAGACCTCTAAGTTAGGTATTACCACTTGAGGCAGAGTTCCAAGAGACACAGTAAGATTTCTAAAGATACCATGTCATTGCTGAGCAACAGTTAAAAACTGAATACAGTTCAGTTCCTTCAGTTTTAGAAAGAACACAAAACTAAACACAAAGCCATAATTAGGTCTCTCTACATATCTAAACCACAACCTCACCTTAAATACTATCTGCATGTTTGATCTCCCATTTTGAAAAAGATAGATAGAGAAGAACTATGGAAAAAGGAGACAAGGATGATCAAGAGCTAGAAACACATTACAGATGGGGGAAGTGAAGCAGCCTGGGACACCAGCTTGGAAGGAGATGGGGAAGAATAGCAAAGATCTGTTGAAGAAAATAATCTAATTTGTATGCTTTCTCTAAGCATTTGCTGATAACCATGGTCTCCACTTTCCTTTTGTTGTAGTTGGATCTCTGAATAGACCTGTGTAGCCGTTCCTGCATGAACTCTTTAGAACTGAAGCCCTGCTCCCACTCTGTGTCAGGACCAATCTTCTGTCTGATTATCCTAACATACACAGAATAAAAGCATAAAGAAGTTCCCCAATCCCTCAAAACCGGAGTGCAACTGTAACATTTTCCTGTCCACCTATGTGACCTCCTCAGCAAGACCACCAGTGCTCAGCAGTGCTGGGGCAGCTACACACAAATGTTGTTAAGGGGGTGCTATACTACCAAGAGGACTCTTCCACTGCCTGCAGCTGCCACTTTCTCTGTATGCCCTCTTCCAGACCCACCTCTCCTTTCCCCATGTACAGAGCCATAAATCCTTTATTCAGATACTAGATATGTTTTGACTCTAGTCCTGCCACTACATCATCGCTGATCTAATTCATCTCTCTCCTCTTACCTATACTGAAGGTTTGTTGTGTAAGTATATCTGTCTCTCCAACTTTTGAACTCCCTGAACAGCTCCCATCAGCATCTGAATCAAGAGACTTCACTCTTTCTTTGCCTTTAGCTAATTGCATTACCTCATCACAGTTGCACAGACTTTTCCCTCCAGCTCAGAATGCCTGACGTGTCTTTTCTCATACAATATTTCTGTCATCCTCAGCCTATTTATCTCGTATCTCCTTTCTGTTTCCCATTAAATCACCATATGGCCTTCAAGAAAAAGTTATATATCAAGTACCTGAAATATCCATGCTCTGACTGACTTACACCTGCTTCACATGCTGGACTGGAAAGAGGACAGAGCCATATTCCAGAAAATGAAATTACCTTTCTGCTCCTTGCTCACACCAGCTAGAAGAGCATAAAAGATATGGTAATTCCTCTCTCCGGGATTCTGGTGTACCACTCTGTTCTGAAACAAAGAATACAGGAGTAGCCAGTAGAAAGAGATTGCACTTGTGGTTGCAAAGGCAGAGAGGACCATGATTCAGGTAAATCTCCAGGGACAATACACAGGAGGGGCTTCTTCCAGTTCAGTGATGGCGTTGTCTAAATAAGGTCTATATGAAGATCTTATCATGTGTGGCTGTGCAACCAAGCACATAGACTTCTCTGAACTCAGAGTGTATATGCATGGACAAACTGAACTTTGCCAGTTCTGGGCCCACAACTCAGTGAGTTCTGGTGTTCAAAGCAACCTACATCAGAGCAGAGATGTCTGCATTTTGGAGTTGTAACCCCATATTCCTCTCCATGGAATTGAGTTTCCAGGTACTCTCTCCTTTTCCCCTTGGTAAACAGCTTTTTCTTGAAGTTTCTCTGTAATGCACAGTTTATAAAGACAGGAGAACAGGTTCTGATAAAGAAGGAACAAACATAGTTCCTTCACTGTCCTCTTCCTCAGTTGAGACAGCTGCAGTAGTAACACCTAAAAGCTAATGTCTATGATGTGCTGTGACAGAGGCACCATTGTCCTGGAGGAGATCTAGCACTACCCCACCATACTGTGAGGACAGGGCTCGCCCAGCAGTCAGTAAAGGTGACACCTACCTTTTCCAGTAAATCTGAACAGCTTGTTAAGGAAAAACGATTCAAATATCATATTCACAGATCTGCTGATGACTGGCAAAGAATCTTCTAGACACATTAGGATGAACCCTGTAACAAGCAACAAATCATTAAACAGCTGACACTTTGGAAAGTGGAACAAAGACTGGTCCCAAACATCATCTCGGATCCTCTTTACTTCTTGTCCAAGGAAGTATCACGTGCCAATGTGCCAAAGATACATTTAAAAGGGCAGGGTCAGATAGAGCATAGGACCTGTACAATGGTGAGGTAACCTTGCAAAGGATGAGCCACATTAGGGACACCTGAAAAGATGGAGAGGCCACTCTAATCTGAAAGTCTGTACTGCACACAGTAAATCTTGCATCAGTTCTCATAGCTTCTACAAGAGACTACTATCTTTAATCTACCGAGCACAAAAAGCAGAGACTAAACAATCCAAGCCTGTTATTTACAACAGTAGTAAATTCATCTGGTTCCTACTCCAGTGGAAATTGGTGTGGTTTGCAGTCATTAGCAGCTTTGAATATCAGCATCAAGAAATGTAGCTAGGGCAGCTTTAGCTGCCTCATGTAGACAAAAGATAGTCTTTGTGGGAAGGGTACATGGGCATACAGGGAAGAAAGTGGTCATAGCACAACATAATTTGACTATATCCAGTCTTCCCTGTCCTTGTTGTCATTGGGACAGGCTCCTCAGGGAAGTGCTCATGGCACCAATCCTGTCAAGAGTTCAAGGAGCATCTGGATGATGCTCTTAGTCATATGATTTTGTTTCAGGTAATCTTGCGAGGAGCAGAGAGTTAGAGTCAATGATCCTTCCAGGTCCCTTCCAACTCAAGATATTCTATGATTCTATGATTAGTGTTCCAAGGTCCACTGGAGATGGGCAGCCCAAAACAGGGAGTCATCATTGGTCCTCTGAATTCCTGTTCTCTGCATCCCAATATCGTGCAGAATATACTGATTCTTAGCTTAGTCTCACTTTTCTAAATTGTGAATTCACTGACAGAACTAACATAAGGGAACAATCTTCTGTGAACAACAGGATGCAATCAACATGAGGGATCTTCTTAGGCAGCAAATTCTAGGGATTTAAGTATCAAGTGTCGTGACTGCCAAATGAAAAGTCAGCCTGTGTGTCCCTATCTAATGTAGTACCTAGACAAAAGGTTTCCAGAGTTATGTGTTGCAGAACCACAAACCTTTTCCCTCTTTAAGTTGCAAATTTTCCCACAGTTATAAACTGGCTTTGAGAAACTGTGATGAGATTTCCTGACCCACTCTGAGCTCCTCTTCATCTTCACTTACTCCACCCATTTCTGGTCCACTGAAGAAAAGGATACAATCAGTTACTCGGCCTCCTTGGATGTGTCCATGTTGAGAGAAGTGCAGCTGGATGAACTTGCCAAAGCGGCTGGAGTTGTTGTTATAAATTGTCTTGGCATTTCCAAAGGCCTCCAAAATGGGGCTGCAGAAACAAGGCAATGAAGATACAATTCGTGATGAGATACTATTAAAACAGGCATGTGCCCAGCCCTTTGCCATTTGCACAAGTGTGCACTGCCATGCGAGATTAATTTGTTACAGCATCAGACTGGACAAGCAGAAGAGCTCAAGGGCAAGGAAGGATGGCAAGAGCAATTTAACATGCTACTAGATGAAATTTAAGCCTTTGGGATTGGAGATAATTAAATGAGTCCCCAGTGAATATGGGTTGCTGGCTGGTGTTCACGCTGTCAAGGGCATTCCTCACCAACGTGGCTTCAGGAAATGAAAGGAGGCAAGACCCAGCCAGGTATGTGCTTAACACAGCAGCATCCCATGATACGGACTTGTGGTTGTTTTGTTTCAGGATTTTCAGAAGCATCAAATATATAGGGCAAATACTCTGTAGGTTTAAATTGTGTGCTATTTTGTTTCTGCTTCTATCTTTGAGAGAGAAGACAGTATAAACTATCTCTGAAAATTACAAGCAAACATTTTCAAACTATCAAACATAGTACTAAATTGATTTGTTTGCTACTGGAGCACACAAGCCCTTATTACTTAAATCTTACTTAGGCTGGTACAAGCCACATGGTTTACAAGTAAAGGGACTATATAAACATACTATAGATTCAAAAATTTTATTCTAAGAGAGCCACATAATCCATTTCAGGAAAAAAAAAATGTTGAGAAATAATCTACCACTAAACTTCAGACAGGTAACGAAGTGAAGAATTCTGTCTCCTGGTCACCTTCCTGTCTTCAAGCAGGTTCATACAATATGGAAATTGGTGAAGCTTTTTGGCTCTTGCTCCACATAACAGTACAAGGGAAACCTTGAAGCATTCAAACTGACATGCTGAATCCAGGATTAAAATGTTCATTTTTGCAGTTTAGCCAATTCTAAAATAACCTGAAGGCCTGAAAAACAAGGAGTCATGGAGATGCTACAAGAACAGCCTGTATGTGGGTCATGTTTATTTTTAAAACATGTAGTTTTTAACAAAAATTTTTGCTACTATCACCCTGAGAATTACCGGCTTTTTAAACATCTCTATCAATCCACTGTGTGGTTCCACTGGAGACAGGGGCAGATACAGGATTATTCACAAGTTAATAATTATTAACATGACAAATAATCACAACTACAGATACTGCTGGAGATTGCTGAAAGCTTCAGGCCTTGCAAGTGTTAGCTAAGTGAGAACTGTGGTTAGGAAAGGCCCAACAACCTTCAGGAAACTTCAGACTGTATTGTCCTAATTTATTTCTTGAAAATACCACTTTAAATATACAAAAGCATAGAAACTAGATTTCTCTGTTATAATAGGTTACAACCACAGAAATCCCAGTCATAGAAATCTGTGTGCACAGATCAGGAGGTTAAGTTCCTTGCCCTGGAGGATGTGAACTCCAAGACCCAAGCCTCTGAAAGAAGTATGTAAATAAGGACATTGCACAGGAATATCACACTGAGCACACCAACGCCATGAATCAACAAAAATTAATGGGGACAACCAGAAAAAGGGAGGACGGGGTTACACTATGACCACCTCAGCTGCAGTGAGAGTGCAACAACCAGCCAGACAACCTTTATGGCTCTAAGTCATGTTAAATTAGATAAGCAAAGCACAAGGAAGTATCTTCATAGTTTAGTTCGGTGATGGGCTTGCGCACGTGAGTGCAGAATTCCTTCAGGGATGGGGGAGGAAAAAGGCAAGTGGGTGTCTGAGGCTGCTGGCAGCTGCAAGGCAGAGGGGTGGGTGAGCTGGTACAGCCGGCAGTGAGGGCAGGTGCCCGGGCCGAGCAGACTGCCCACACCAGCAGGCACATCGCAAAGTGGCATTTGATGCCACATCAAACTGTGTGAGGTGGAGCAGCACATCGGGAAGATGATGCTGGCTGCTTGGCTGGATGTAGGCAGGGTGTGTTGCAGGACTGAAAATGATGAAAACAGTTTCAGCAGGGCCGCAGAAAGTGAAGCCTGGATTTTAGAAATACTGCAACATATGCAGCTCCAGAATTCAGATGCATAGCTGAAGACAAAAAAAGAAGATCTGAAGATTAGAGGGATGAATAACAGGAAAGGTGACTATGCTGTCAGCAGTGTCACCCAACGCAGAGAAGTGAAACAAGCAAAAAAAGAAAGCTGAGAGGAAAGTTAGCAGAATTTTTAATGGAATGATGGATATTTTCAAGAAGGAAAACAGACCAAATCAACAGTGCCAAAGGAGTTTTAAGAGCCTGATTTCTGAGAAATATGCCAAGTATGAATGTTACAACACACAAGCAAATGATACAAAGCTGACTTTGTTTATAATGCTATCTGAAATTGAGAAAGAATCCAGCATTGTTCCTGGGTATGTGCTGGGGTGCAAGGATGAAAAGCTGCCACAAGCTAACCCAAGGAGGGCCATTTGCAGAGCAAGTGGGGCAGAACAGCGAACGCATGAGGTAGACTTGATAAGAGCAGAAGCAGCTTCTGATTCCAAGCCAGGTCTTCACCTTCTCAGGGAAAAGGTGACAATTCACACTGCCTGGCACCCACATTGCAATAGCTCACTTGACACTAAAGATGTACACAAACAGGTCACGAGCTCTTACTCCACTAAACCTCACAGCTGTGGGATCCTGCAGACTCTGGAATCACTTACTTTACCATCATAAGCTTTCTGGACCACAGTCAAGTTACCACTTAACCACTAAGTGGGCTTGAGCCTTCTAAGCCACTTGCCTTAAAGCAGATTTTGCAGATCTTGAGTCATGACTGTATTGCACTTAAGAGCTTTTACCAATTTGCCAATGTCCCTGGTAAAATATGCACCCTGTAAAGCATAAATCATCCAACGATAGCCTCTTCGAGCACCAGGTCCAAAGTCAGCAACCCTTCTCTTGATGCTGCTCTGCTTATAAGGAACCTAAAAACTGCAATGCTCTTGCAGCTGCCATCTTAGACACTGCATGTCTGCTTAGGCTATTTTCCCCACAGTTACTAGTAACTTTTTGTGTCACCATCTTCCAGAAACATTCCTTCTCTTAAATATGCCACTTGCATCAGAGTCATTTTTACACAGATGGTTCAAAGGATCTCAGCTATTATACATCTAGATCCTGTTGCAGATATCTCATTTACTTCTCTGGAGGTTACTGCAACTATCACAGTCTCAACCTAGGACCAACCTGCAGCCTCGCCCTTGACAGTACTGAACTGCAAGACCCCCAGCAAGGCTCTCCAGTCACAAGCAAGACAGTCTTGTGTTGGGAAATTTTCATTTAATTTAATTTACTAAATAGAATTCAGGTGTTAAGAGAAAGGAGGACACAAACACAAACCAGACACTTAAGTAAACATCCTTCCTCCCTCTACCGAAGGCTTACCTGAAAGTCAAACATCTATTGTCCATCTTTTCTTAGCCTCATCTCCCATTTTAACACCAGTCCTTCACAACTCCACCCTCAAGCCAGCTGGCAGCACAGGAGGCTGGGGTCACACACACGTAACTGTTTCTTTCTGTCTCTCTTTGCTTCCTTACTGGTTTTGCCCAACTGCGCTTTCCCTATTCAGGTTTTCCTGACACTTTTTTCCTTGGTGCCCCTGTTCCAGCATGGTTCATCCATGGGCCATGGTCCCCCAGGTGTGTCCCTGCCCTTGCATAGGTCACTAGAGTCCCTTGAGGGTGTCAGGACCTCCTTTGGCATGAGGGATTCCCCACAGAGTGTGTTTCCATCCCTTTATGGCTGCCAGTTTCTTTCCCAAACATGTTTGACCCAGGCCAGACTGGGTGGGACTTTGACCAACTTGGTCTAGTAGACGGTGTCCCTGCTCATGGCAGGGGGGTTGGAACTAGATGATCTTTAAGGTCCCTTTCAACCCAACCCATTCTATGATTCTATGATTCCCTGCCTACCTGACGCCTTGGCAAGGTTTTGGTGGGTGGTGGTTATTTCCCCGTTCCAGCCCAGGGCTTCTTCCCACACAGCCCTGTTGCAGCCTCAGCAACCTCCTTGCTTGTGTCCCTTACAGCTCCCATGGATGTTTCTTCATGAAATCACCTGCCTGGACAGCAAGAGAGCTGCAGGGTGGCGCACAGGACACATGAGGGCAAGGCATACCAGGGGTCTGAAACAAGTGGCATGCAGGGGGATAGTGAGGCTAAAGGAGGAGGCCAGGACTCAGAGCGTGATGGAGATTCACCATTAGCACAGCCACAACTGAGAGCTGTAGGAGACAGGGATGACCTGAGACAGCCAGGGAGGGATGTTACCTATGTCCCCTCCAGCTACTGACACAAGAGATGTAGAGCTGGAAAGAGGGACAGCATAGTGATGCATGGGTAAGCTCTAAGGTGCAGCCGTGTATACTGACGAAAGGAGAAATCCCAGCTTTGGCTGGAGCATTAATTCTCTGTCTGCCACATACACCCCACACTGCTGTTGGAAAGAAGCCTAATTTATCCATGGGCAGCTGGGAGAGCAGCCAGTGTGAAGCATCCTGGTAAGACCACAATTGCTGCATTTCCCTGACATGACACTATTCAGCTGCATGATCCTCACTGCCTAGGTTTGCCTCCATCCACAGCACAGCTATCCAGAAGGCAGAGCCCTACCAAAGACAGGCTGACCCAGCACAACAGCATCTGCAAGGACTGGCTTCACACACCGGTGAGAGTGACTGTACCTGCTTTCCAGGATGGCTTCTTCCACGCGAGTGCTCTTCTCAGATGCAGGGCCCCCAAGGGAGGTCTGGCTCATAGCTGACAGAAATTTCAGCAGCAACTTGGTACTCTCAGTCTTTCCAGCTCCACTTTCTCCACTGTTAAGAAAAAAACATACATTTCATTCACAAATCTCAGACAGACAGAGCTAATGACCATCCCACCCACAGCAGAAAAGGGATCTCCAGGAATAAACACATAGCATCTCCACTGGTGCAAGCAGGGACCAGGCAAAGTGTAGGCAAGATGGTGTGGATATTCAGGTAGATGTCATTGCAAATGGAGCAGCAGAAGCAAGGTATATAATGCAGTCTGGGAGTAGCAGGTTGTCCCATTTCTAACCTTATCAGAACACACTGGCTGTCATGACGCTTCCACAAGCAGCAGTAGCACTCATTAGCAGTGGCGAAGATATGGGGAGGCAGCTCACCCAGGCGGTGCTGTCTGTACAGGTCTATGGCATCCACGCTGTACAGTCCAGGGATGAGTTTATAGGGATTTACTGATGCCAAGATGGAACCAATGTTTGTCTAGGGGGAGAAAACAAAACACAGCAAGGAAATAAAGCTCCTGGAAAAAAACAAAAAAATCACAACAAACCCAGACCCTGAAATAACTCGTGGTGAAGGAAGAAAGCCTAAATAAGGAACTTGGGCTTAAGTAGAGAGCTCCCCAATTTGGCAAAGAATGTCAAACCCCAGGGCAGGGGCTGCACAACTGGGTATGGATGGGGCAGTTTGAATTTTGCTGCTCTGCAATAAGATATTCTTTGCTTAATTAAGCTTACACAATTTAAAAACATGAAGCCATCTACCTGCCCAGCTACCTTGCACTGTGCTTGAATCTGAAAAGCAGAACCAGCACTGAAGGAGTGTCAGGAGATACCTTCAATGCCCCTATCTGCAGTCTTAAGTAGAGGGGGCTTGGCAGGGTTCAAGCAACTCCTGAATGAAGAGGTGGGACACAGAGATACACACACATGCACACATGTGTGTGCAAAGAGCCACTAAAGCATATTGCTTTAATTCTGCTGACAAATGCTGTTTGGAGCAGCTTAAATCATTCGGTAAGCCAAATCAAAATTGACAGCTGAAAATGAAACTCAGAATTTCAAGTCATAACATTTCTACATTTTCTAAGCATTTTATTTTGAAAATATTTATTTTGAAAATCTCACAGTTCAAGAAAAGAGTTAGTAAGGTTTAAAAATAAACACAGAAAGCCTAATACTGAATTTCTAATGTATTCTTTTGTGAAGTCAGAAGCAAATTAATTTTGGTTTTTGAGCATGACTTTTTCGGTTCAGCCAACCAGCTCAAATCCAGTTATTCTCAGAGCTGCACTTCAGAGCAATGGTGCCACCTGCTTCCTAACATTGACTTTGTAATATGGTCAACATCCATCTTAAATGCTGCTGGTGCAGTGGCCTCCTTCGCAGGGACAGCTTGGACTGCTCTACTCCAGGAATACCCATTCTCAGCAGGGGTGACAGAGGAAACAGATAGCTGCAGAAGGTGCCAAGCTTTGTGGCCAGGGACAACATCTACTATCATTTCCAAACCATGAACTACGAGTCACCACATACATATACAAGGATTTGTATGCATCCATTGGAGAAGTTGTAAATAAAACACTTGGTGACAAGAAAGACACATGCTTTGTCCCTGCCAAATGGAATCTGAGGCCATACTGCAATGCCAAGCTCTGAAGCCAGACTGAGAAATGCTGTAGTCACCAAAATATTTAAGACTCATTTAGGAAAGCAGCAGTCAGAGGGTATCAGAGGGAAAAAATCCACGTAGGCCTAATTGCATTATGAGTATGAACAGGCTAGCATGCAACAAGTCCTGAGGATCCTCTGACATGGAGTTTTGTGGGCAGAAATATGATTCATTGGTGATGAAAGCAATAAGCAAGCAGCTGAACTTTGGCAAGATAAGTGTGAGAAAATAGGAAAGCACTGATAGAGAAAACACAGATCAGGAAAAAGCACTGTACAAGCAGCTGAGCAACAGACATTGTCCAGAGACTAAAAGACAGAGATGTCCATCCTGACACTTCTCTCAGATCTTCACTGCATTTTTTTCCTCTCAGGTGTTTCATTTTCAATTTCCCACTCTAGTTTCCGTTCTCACAAGGAACAGGGCTCCCACCTCAGTCCCTTTCAGTTCTTCCACTACAGCTATCTCTTCCAAAGGTGTTTCTAGGAAACTGTCCCATCTCTCAGTTGCAGTTTCTTCATCACCTGCAGTCCCTTACAGACAATTTCTATCCACAAATTTTAATAGCGGTAGCATTTGTGAATCAACCATGTACATACCAGCCACTCCATTAGCAAGAAGTGATCATCCCCAGATGATTTAGAGCAGGACAAGCCATGCATGGCATGTCTACTTCTCAAGACAATCATAGAATCATAGAATCAAGAGAACAGATCCTACTTGGGTGGTTCAGTTTGGCACAGCTAGGAACAGCACAAAACATGGCAGTACACAGCCCCTGGCTCATTTATACATCACTCATATTATGTTGGATCTGCTTTTATTAAGGGATACAGGAATTGTAGGAATTAAGAGAGAAGGGCAGATGCACTCCTAAAAGCTGCAGTTTGTTGCTATTCTCACATAAATTCCTTAAACACTTTGGTAGAGATTGATTAGGATTTCTTTGGAAAACAAAAGGTACTGCTGAGATTGTCAGTATTCCTGTAGCAAATTAATTATAGGTACCACACTAGTCTAGATACACTGCTACCTTCACTCCTTGACCAAATAGGACCTCTTTTAGGAGGTCATGGTAGGATGCCTCCAGGCATCAGAGCAGCTCAGAACTGCACTGCCCTTTTTCACAGCAGCTGTCCATTTCACATTCTCAGTTTTCCATCCTCTCATTAATTATTTTTATTATTTTATTATTATTTTTAATACTAGTTATCAGTATTCGAGGTTACCCATTCCTTTAGTGAATGTGTTTCCCAGACAAATAATTGTATTTCTCATCTGATTCTGGTCTCTCTGATTTCCTTCCAAATATTTTTGGCCCTGACTGAAAAGCATAAGTCCTCTCAGTACAGCTTCATCTGCAATCTTAGCCTACGTTCTATCTGTGGAGACTGTTGAGGATGATATTAAATGAGCACAAGCTCTGTAACATTCATGGTATTAACAGATCACTGCAAGTCATTAGGTGACAGCTGACACTCTCAATTTCTGCTTAACTGAAAACTATATGCAGCTGGCCTATGGCAAAAACTAATTGTTTGTGATAAGGTAATTGCAACTGCACTGCAGAAATGCAAAACAGCACTTGTACAGTTTGATGTTCTTCAGGTCAGACACTGTGCACACACATACCTAGATACAGTCCCACACTCAAGGAGGGGCTTACAATCCTTCACTGTGGGGTTTTTCCTATTGCCGAGCATGTTATAGAAGTCAGGCCCCTTCATAAATCTCAAAAAAGTCAGATCTGAGGTGCACAGCTGGCATTCATGCACTACACACAGGCCAAAAGTGGTATCATGTTTAAACACCTTTACACACAGATGGAGAAGGCACAGAACTAATACTGAATAGAAGAAGGAATGAGAATCTAGTTGAGTATGTCCCTGCTCATTGCAAGGGGGTTGGACTAGATGACTTTTGAAGATCCCTTCAAACCCAAACTGTTCTATGATTCTGATTCTATCAGAGCTGGAGGAAAGGCATGGAATGGAGGAAAGGCACCTTATGGAGACACAGCTGCTGTGACACTGTTAGAGTCCTGGTGGTGTAGCATTTCTGGTGCAAGGCACAAACTTAAAAAGGAGAGAACCCTTACTCACATTTCAAAGTGTGAGGAAGAGGAAGTGGGAGGAATATACCCACATGGGCAAAGAGCTGCACAAACACATAGTGCATGTCAAACACAGGTCAGGAAGAGCAGCAAGGACAAGGGCCATCAAAAGAGTGTGTGCACATGAGTGCTGCCACAGGGTCACAAGGCTGTGTTGATAAACAGGCAAGGGGGATCTACAGCAACAAAAAAGAGAATTTGCAGTCTCCTCCACATCCTGGTGCAGGAGATGGTTCAGAAATGGGGTCACTTTATTCAACATTTCCTGGAATACAGGTGCATATGGTTTGGTTGCCTTGGTAATAGTTGCTGTGCAACACAGATAGAGATTTACATTTTTTCTGTCAAAATCTGAAAAATTTTGGGTGCACATAGAATGGACAAGCAAGGTGAGAGTAAAGCAAAATAAGGCAGTCTTTGCAATATATCCTCCTGTCCTCTCCACATTTCAGCAGAGTACGGTGCCATGCCAGCACTCCAGGGATGCCTCCTCCCCAGTGTGGTTTCCCTCTCAAGTCCCTTTCCTGGTGCTTGCCTCTTTCCTGAGGGCCTGAGGGAAATCAGGATGTGCTTTGAGTACTCATTTGTGCAAGGACAGCAGGGCGACTCAAAAAAGGCACAACTGCACATAAAAGCAGAAGAATTAGGCAAGAGGTTTGCCTTCCTAGTTTTGGAAAGAAGCAGTAGCTTCATCTGTCCAGATCAGGAGGGATACTCAGCAACAACCTGTGTACACTGCACTTTCCAGACTACTTGGCCGTATAAACCTCTGAACAGCAAAAATGGGGAATCTGGGGAACATGAATGCCGGCTTGTAATACATGAATGTTCATGGAGGATACAGAGCTGCACAATTACCACAAAGCCTAGAAGTGAACATTCATGTTTTAGAAGTTCTATAGATGCAAAGATAGAGGTAGGATCTCACAGGGCTGATGGAACTGGCAAGGCAAGGAAAAAAATCTCATTTTCTATCCACATGAAACAATGCTCATGAAACAACGCTAAAATCAGTGTCTCACATGCTAAATGGCACCAAAACTAAACAAAAATCATTAGCCAGAAGGGATGTGGCCCAGCTTGAGCACTTACATAGATGTTACCCTGTTGATAGCGCTGGCGCAGGTTAAGCAGGATGGCAGCTTCATGCAGATCTCCCAGCATGGACATGTCTTCTACCCCATCAATGCTGGTCTGGTGCATTGGCAAGACCTTTTCTCTGGTAAGGGAGGCCTTGGGGTACTGGAATACCTGGAAGAATGGGGAAAAGGACAAATAAGCTCATGACATGTGGGCACATGGTCTAATTCCCTACCAGAAACACGCCCCTTCTCACAGCTTTATACTTCAGCACTGGAAAAGGAAATGAATAATGCACAGATCTGCTCCCTATTTGTATAGACATTCTTCTATTCCTGTTCCTGCCAATTTGAGCTCTCTGGCCAGAAACCATATGGAACAGTCTCTTCTTTTGCTACAGAGTCAATCTCTCACCTCCGCTACTGACAGGGACAGATCAGTGCAAGGTTACTTTTTTTTAACAAAATCCCCTTAGCAGGAGCAGGTCACCAGCTGCCAGCTGCTCTTGGCTGCACAGGTATTACACACTACACTTGTAACTGTGAATAACAATGGCAGCTGCTCCCAGGAGACCAGGAACAATCTTGCACAAAAACATAGGTGGCATCATGTCTGTGTGGGGAGATGGAGACAAAGCTTATTCATTCCAAGTTTGGCCCTGCACTCTCCATAGGAGCAGCCAAAGAGTGTCTGGGAGAGACTGTCATGTCAGGACTAGAGGAAAGCAAAGCACATGAGAAGCCAAATAAGGGAGTGACATCCTGTGTGCACACTGGCATGTATGCATAAGATACTGCTTTCAAAATATTTGTGCAGTGACAGCTATGAACTTCTATCACTGCTCTGGGAAGTGCTTCTCTCTCCACGTGGTTGTACACTTTTTGACTCACTTGCTGCATCCTTCTTCCTGCTAGAGCTTCCTCCTCCTCCTCCTCAATTACCCACTATTCCGCTATCAGGTCATCTTCTTCACCCCCTTTCAACACAGCTGAGATTATGTGACTGCTCCCCTCCACCATTATGCATCCCAGCCCTCCTTTCCTCCTCCGCAAGCACGATGCTGGCATTTCACAAGTTATTTCAGTTGCTTCCCACTCTTGGATTCAACTGTGTGCCATCTCCCACCCAGTATCCCAAACTGCACTAGATGATAAGACCCAATATAAACAGATGGGAGACTTCATACAGGCAGCCTGGAGAAGCAAACTGGCCTGCAGTAACCCTTCCAAAGAAATTTGGGCTTTTCCTTCCCTTCTGGGGCTCTGGTCTCTACCTCATTTCCATCCCTTCTTGTCAGTCCTCCTACGTGCCAGCAAGAAACTGACAGACTCCACAGAGAATGAACCATGATCTATAGCATTGATCTAGCTGGTTTCTTCTGCCTGCTCTCGTGGAGTTCTTGGGCTGCTGTAATTGCCAGAGAGAGGCCATACACCAGCTGCAGCCTGAGGACAGAATGAGGTCACCCTGCCCCCTCCAACCTTGTGAGTCCCTTGCAGGGTGCTCACTGCTGCAGCGCATTGCAGATGCCCAGTGAGCACCCTTTCTTTGCTCTGCGCCTGTACCCTTGCCAGCATGGGGAAGGAATGACCTAGCACAGGATCCCTTTACAAGAACTCCATGCTACCTGTGAAGCCTGCACAGTTACAATAGCAGTTCTGTTCCTGGAGGGAGCTGGGGAGGAGAAGCAGGCTCATCTCCCTGGATGTGTTTGCCCCAAGTCTGCCCAGTCACACCTAATGTGACAAGGACTCGGTCTCTTCCACTGGGAAATCACCCCACAGTCCAATTTTCTTGCCAGCCAGGAAGCTTTCAAAAATACATAGTTCATGTTCATGAACAGTGTAGGATGGAGCCTGCTCCCAGCACACAGGCTTTCTCCAGGCATCTCTGGACTTCTCTGCACCACTTCTGCACCTGGGTATCAGAGAGGTACGACTGCTAGCAGCAGGAGCCCTGCTCTGCAAGCATGACCCAAAAGAAACACAGTCACTTCCTAAGAGAACTGATGGAGCAGGAAGGGAGAATGGAACAACTAAATTCAGTGGTGAGTACAAGCTGCAGATGCACAACGTGAACTGGACTCTGTCAGGAGAAAAACTACTACAGTACTTTCAAACCATGAGGCAGCAAACCACCCTGGCTTTCTCTTCTCTGCTGACTTTGACAAATTTCGGAAGGGGACAAGTCCAAAACAGTATGATGGGATCTTTCCTTACATCTGCCTGGCACTTGCTCATTTACCACTGCATTGTCAGCACTTGTGGCCATTTGGACCAGAAGAGAAATATTAAGAAAACATCTAGGGAAAAAGCTGAGTGGACAAGTGTTCCAAAAGATACCAGACAGTTGACAGCACCTGTGCCAAGAGGCTGCTGAGCATGAAAAATAACTTGTTTACTTGCTCTTGAGGACAACGCAGGAGAAACTGGGACCCTGAAGAACAAGAGGCCCAAAATACACAAGTAAATTATTAGGGATTAGATCATCACCTGTTAAACCTGAACTGCCTCTGACTGGGATTATTCAGCCATTTTTCTCAAAACCAAAAAGAATCTGGTACAAGCTCCTTGAATTAAGCAGGTGCTCTGGCATGACTGCAGTAAAGGAGGATTAGAAGCATTGGCTCTGGTACCCTCTAGTCAGAAATACTGCACAGGGGAAACACACTCCCTGGAGGAGCAGTCTGATGCCACACTGACACCTGTCTGTCCCTGAGGCTGGAGAGGTTCACTCTCACCCGTCACTGAACCCCTAGAGCTCACGCTTCCTCAAGCCAAGCCTGGGGCCTCCAGTCCCACTGAGATCTGGGAGGTGAGGCCTCTGCCTCTGGAAGGCACCTTCGGTATGCAGGAGAAGTTCCAGGCCTTCCCTGGCACTGGGTGAGAGTTGACTTCTAATCTGTCCTCCAGTCTCTATCACCAACAGGCTACAGTGATCATCCAGGATCCTGGAGACAGACATAGAATCACAGAACAGTTTGGGTTGGAAAGGACCTTAAGATCATCTAGTTCCAGCCCTCCTGCCATGGGCAGGGACACTATGCACTAAAACATGTCACCCAAGACTCTGTCCAACCTGGCCTTGAACACTGCCAGGGATGGAGCATTCACAACATCCTTGGGCAACCTGTTCCATGTTATGTTTTGTTCCCAAGATTGTGTCAAAGGGGTTTTCCAAGAGGAACTCTGAGAACTCTGAGAACTCTGAGGTTTGAGAGACAAATATTACCCAGACATGATGATGCTGTGCCTTAGAGGTTGCAAGGTGCTGCACTGATCCAGGCCAGCCAGGCCCTTTCTCACTTCTAGTCACCCCAGTAAAAAAGAGTCTCCTTTTACTCCACTGCTCATTTCTGGTCCCCTCCAGCAATCTGCCAGATCAGTTTGAAGGAACATCCTCCCCATCATCATGCTCCAGGTAACACGGAAGCACGGCTGGTAGGCCAGGCTACACTGCTGAGCTGAATATGATGGCTGATTTTGCCTGAAGCAAGTGAGAACCCAAACTGTTCTTTCAGCAAAGCTGCCTCTGGAATACCCCTTTTCCAACCAGTTAACATTTAAACAGAAAGTTATAGGTGTTAATAAGCAGATCTTTCAGCTTTCACTCTAACTACAAACAACCCATCAAATACCACACAGGCACTTCACAACGCAGGCAAAGATTTCTACTTTCTCCCCAGTGATAAACTGATTTTGTCTCAGATTTAGTGCACAGACAACAAAATGACCAGGACTCTCTCCAAGCCCCTGCAATGGTCAGGAATAAAGCAAAACCTGGCCAGCAGGCAAGCCAAGATGAGGATTGCCAACTCTGCTCACCAGGCTGAGCAAGGGAGAAACGATTCCTTTTCAACCTCAAATCCACCCTTTAGTGCAACCCTGGGCACTTGAGCAAAGCACCCACCTGGCATCTACGTTATGTTTATCCATAAAGCATTCACCTGATCTGTCTGGACTGTGATTTTCAACCTTGAGTTTCCTAAGAGTTGGCTCCTCCTTTCCTCCCAGGAAGTGACATTTCTGATAGATATGTTGCTTGAGGTATTTTTAAGAAAGTGAAAACAAATAACAAAGGCTCTGAAGCATGAGTGGATTTCTTAGAGCTGCAAAAGCTGCAGGAAGGCTGGCCACAGCAAACATGGGAACACTAAATTTAGCAATCCTAAAATCAGAGGGATCAACTAGCCCATGCAATCCAAGGTAAAGTGAAGATGTTTTCATCTGAGTTGTCACGTGGGGTAGGACAGACAACCCCTCCCACAGTTACGAAGCAATGAAGGTGGCAGGTGAGGGAAGCACATAGGAAAAAATGTAACCAAAAAAAAAGGAAACAAAACCAAAACCAAATTTACTTTTCTTTTTTTTTAGACCTGTGACTCCACCCAGCATCATCCTGTGCACACTTTCTAGCATGGACACAGGCTGGCGGTGGGTGCACCCACTCAGCTGGCTCTATGGACGGGATTTCTGGTGTTCTTTCTGAGGTGCCAGGTGGGTTTCGAGGATTTTCCAAGGCCACAGCAGCGTATCAGAAGAGATGGGAGCAAGTCTACAAGAGTTACAGAAGTACTCACCATTTGTTGACCCTCCACAGGCTGCTGTGTACCCATGATGAACACCCCTGTGATCTCTCAAAATAAGTTAGTGACTCCCAAAACAAGGCAACTCCTTGAGAAAAGATTTGAGACTAGAGTAACTAAATGGAAAACCTTTGTGTCTACTAGATGAGTTTCTGATTCTGAGAAACAAATCAGACTCCTTAAAAAGGAATAATGATTTGAAATCTAGCCCTTTCAAAGCAAGACTGAAAAATATGAATTTACCACTGACTCTCCACAAACTGGAGTCCTAAATCCCCTTTCCTCCTCTGCCCTCCTTTGTTTGCAGGTAAGAGGCTGAAAAAAAAGTGTCCAATTTTCTGTAACAAAGCAGTTGCCTGCAGAGCAGCATTCACCAACACAGCTGAGCAGATCTAATTGCTCACTGCTGGAGGACACAGTCCTGCAGGTTTCTCAATCCTCCTCCATGCCCAGGCACCAGTTTGACTCACTAAGAACCTCAGTGAAGGCAGTGAATAGTGTTCCCAGGATTAGTGAGCCGAGCTGACTCACTGAGGACATAGATGATTCCCAGAGGTCCCTTCCTACCAACATTACTCCACAAGCACTGCAGAAAGCATGCCAGGGAACCACAAGGCACACAGGGCTGGAAATAGGGCAGGAAAGAGGCTTCCTCTCTCTGGCAGACAGCTCTGCTCTCAGAGGAGCTTAGCTGCCTTGTTGAACTGTGCTGTGCATAGCTGCTGCACTTACACTGCTGACAAAGGGAGCTCACTTACATGTGCCCATGACCCAAAGGGCTGATGGCAAAAGCTGCTGAAGCAGATGGTGGTAAGCACAACAGCCCTTACTTATGGCAGTATGGCTTGCAAGAAGCATACACCAGCAGAAGGGGCTACTTAGTTGGTGCAGCTGCCTCCTTCCTAGGAGCATTTTGCCAATGTAATGTTTTTGCTAGGCTGCTTCAGAGGTGGCACAATAACAATCAGGCAGAGTGAGGCAAGTAGACAAATGAACAGAAGAGAGAGAATGATCTTCTCTTTTTAACGTTTGTTAGGCATTTGGCATGGTTTGTAACAGAACTGGGTCACTTTTCAGACAGAATTGCAGCATTTCAATTGATATATTTCATTTTAATATGAAGGTCATGCGAGAACAAGAACATCTTGAAACTTTGCACAGGCTACAGCCTCATGCAAACTTCACTTACTGTGCCGTAATCTGAGGTGAAGAGCACATTTCCATTGGCACATGAGCCAACAGTGCATGGCTGCAGCTGGTTCTGCTCCCGCAGCCATACCCTGTCACCCTGCAAAAAACAGATCTCCCGTTAGAAAGAACTGGAACCTGCGAGATCAACACACGGAGTGCAAACACCCAAGGAAAGCTGGGGGAAGCTGCGGTATTCAGAGATTACTTCAAAGCTACAGCTGCTTAAAATTTTTAAGCAAGTCCTACTTACATTTTCAGAGAAACTGGTTTTGATTTTTTTTTAACATAACGTGAGAGGAAGAAAAAGCAGTTTTCATGTGGAAATCAGCATAAGAAAACATCAATTTTTATGGAAGAGTCGTGGAAAGATACAAGCGCACAGAATAGTGGGTTCGACTGTCTAAATATTTTCAAGCTTAGGATAGCCGGTCATTAAAAGTCATTCTATAATAATAATAGGAAATGTAAATAAAGCATGTTTACAATTTCATACACCCACACATCATTGTAAGTAAAAATGTTTCCAGAAAGCATCAGCAACAGCTAAGAAGACTTCACAGAGCTTTGCTTGCCTCTCTTGCAAGAATTTGCTTTGGTAAATGACATGACTTGACAGTTTCTCTCACATATATATACATGTATATATATACTCACTGACGTACGTATGATGGCCTTGACGTATACATAGTTTCACACACATTATAACATCTTAAATTACTCAGTGCCTCTTAAGACAACCATGAGCACAAAGGCAGATTTCTGGCAACACATATGCAGGGATCTGCAGGGCAAGCAGATCTGATCTGATAGTCTGCCTACCAAAAAAATGCAGGGGAAATCAGTTTGCTGGATTGGCCTCTTCTGCCCTGCCTGGTGGTGGGACCTGGTACAACAGAAAGAGCAGAAGCACAAAGGCAAATCAGGGAAAGTGTGACCCGCAATTACGCAGAATTAGGCATAATATCACACTGCATTTCAGTTATTGCAGACTAATCTGTTCCATGTCTTCCCATAGAGATCCCATAAACTCTGCTTGGACAGGTATTGAGAAAAAGCCGAAGTGCTGAACTGTTGAGTAATGTTAAGGCCATCCCGCTTTTCATCGATCCGTAGATCTACTTTCTCCCTAATTTGTCTTCTACCCCTAAGTTATTGATTATAAAAGCCTTTCCTATCCTCTTAAACCTGTCAGCACCATTAGCTCTTTGCTTACAGGCTTACTATGTTTGAAGAGATGCCACAGTATTTCTGTATTACATTATACAGAATGTGGAACACTAATCCTATCTTTAGTCACTTTAGATTTATTTTATATTAGTTAGGGTTTTTAAACTACTTTAGTCACTTTAAACACTTTGGTACCCTGGGTTTTCCTTATTGTACAAGATATGTCTATTGGCCACCCTCCAGTCCTCCCAGTAAAGGAACTGGGTTTAATGACACTAAAAAAGGCCTACATAATTCTAGCTTTGCTAATGTGTTCTGTTCTAGAGTTTCCACAGCAGGCAGATTAATTTCACCTCACCAAGTAAATGAAAAGCAGCAGTGCATCTGATCAGTACCTAAACCCAAGGACAGTGTGCAGAGAGCACCCTCATGGCCAGTGAGCAATAGTTTTTCTTATGTTACAGATTCAAGTTTCAAGATCCCAGAGACCTGGTAAGCAATGCACTGAATACAGATTTTGAGGAACTTCATGGTTCTTCAGATTCATGAAGAGGTTTTCACAACATCCTCTTACATTTTCTGAAACTCTTGATGCTTGAGACGAAGTGTCCTGAAGCATCTGGGCAAGACGTTGCTGTTGAGAAATCATCCATTTCCTAAATCACATTATGACTATTCTGCCTAAACATATGGACAGCAACATGCATCAGTAGATGATCTTTATGCTGTCTTCACCAAAGGCTCCTACTATCATCACAGTATAGAGCAAAGTGTCAGAAAATAGCAAAGGTGTGTCTGGAGTTCCCAAAAATGAAAGAAAACCTTCTCTAATACCCACATTCCCAACAGTGCATTCAATGCCTTCAGATACCAGTAATGCAGAAGCACAGAGATGAGAGCCTGCAGGCAAGTGCAGTTTAATCAGGAGCCAGGCCTGCACCCTTCTACACACACTGCACCCCAATGCCATGGCACACACATGCATTAGGAGTGTGTCATGCATTAGGAGTGTGCCATGCTCACAGAGCCTTGCATTGTCTGTCCCTGCAGATCAGGGAGGTCTGGGTTACACACACTTTCCACACTCTGAGCTTGGAAATAAGTTTGGAGATAGAGGCAGTTGATAATCTTACACACAAGAGACACTCCACAGGCATGAACACAGTTACTTATTAGGTACCATTTAGAGAGGAAAAGAGGGGAGATGGACAATGATATCCCCCTGGTGTCTTCAATCCCTAGAAATTATCAGAAAGTCCAGACCAACCCAGACCCTTTTCCCAGCAGAATTCCATGTGCAAAAGTAGTAATACTCTCAAAAGGAGTTATTTTGTACCATATTACACTATTTCCCACAGATTTACGGCAGATCCTTCTGCATGCTGCTAATGAGTAGAAGACAACATGGTGAAACTCCCAGGCGCGTGGCATTTCAGCTGCCCAGAACTACTTACTTCAGTTTACTTTGATGTCATAACTGTTTGTACAACAGCAATTGTCTCTGCCCAGTAGAATAACTGCACCCATTTATGTTGTTTCCAAAAGGAACATCTTGCTGAAACAGCCAGAATAGGAACCACAGAGCAAATAATTATTGTAACTTCTGCCCAGCATAGCCCTCATTTCCTGAAAGGCTGAGTTTGTTTTAGTGCATCTCCTTCCATCAGCCCCTTTTTCTAAACATGAAATTCCCCAAGGAGCCTTGACTAAATACAGAAATAGATGGTGACACTAAAGAGACTGCCCCCACATCATTCTCCTCTCCCCCAGTACAACACATTTCATTGATCAGTTGAAAGGATTAAATTGAGCAGGAAACTTCTGAGGTCTACCAGGCAGCAAGACAGAATTTCCATGGGAGAAGCAAGGGCAGCAAAGCAGAGACCTGCTGGCTTTGGGGGATCCCAGCTCCCACAATGACAAAAGAATCTCTGCTCTCCCAGCACAAGAGTAAAAATCATTCAGTTTTCAAACTGGGATATAGAAGGTCTCACCCACATCCAGAGACAAAACAGTTTAACAAAGTGAAACATCAAGCAATCACTGATTTGAAGAGAACACCTTAAAGATAGCTAAGGAACAGCAGTGATGATTTTGTGTAACCACTTCCATCAAATAAAGCTGGCTGAATACTGATGATACAGTTAACTTGAGCCCCTTATATAACAAGAACAGCTCATCCCCTCCCAATTCTTCTTTTAACTAGAAGTTTATTAGTGGGGTTGTTTTGCTTTTAATTGGAGCAACAACAGCAGATACTGAAAGAATCAAGTAGTCATGTACTGAAGTTCCTGTATCAAGGGTAAGTCACTCGGATGCTAAATGAACTCTCAGAGACCAGCATCCTCATTCCTATGGCCTCACTAACAATATGTCCATGAACTGGCCTTGCCACAAAGTGCATAGCAAAGCACAGTCCTGAAAACTGATCCCATAGCATGGGATTATAATTTAAAAAATAAAGTTGCTTCATATCGAGAGCAGTGTTTCATCAGTACTGCCTCACTCTCACACCATGATGTCTTCCACTGTGGACCCTAAATGCTAAGATGTCACTTTTATTTGTTCACATAAGACCTGGCACTTTGGTATCGTAGACTTTGAAATAAATAACATTTCCTGGTATCCAAGACATCAAGAAAGCAATTGAAGCCATAGATGGGGTTTTTTTGGCCTTCTGTGCCTTTTTTAGCATGACTGATACCAGAAGTTATCTCTTGCATTCACACATCTGCATCTGCATCTCAGCAGATGTAGTATACTTTGTGTCAGCTGGGAAAGAATAAGAGAGATCTTGTGCACTATACCCTAGGGAAGGGGCATAAAGGCAGACAAGCAAAGCACCCACACATTAAAGCAGAGTGCGTAGCCACCAGTGGGTGCACCCTCACCAGCTATCCAGCTACCGAACGTAAAGTAAGCTCCAGAGGACAGACACAGAATTCTGTAGCTGCAGGTGCCTTTGCCTCCCCAGAGCCTCCCAGGCCAGCAGGAGACACATTCAGGGATTGACATGACCAAGCCACTGCTCTGCAACAACCACCCTTTAGAAACAAGTCTTCAGATCTTGTTCTCCTCTTATTTGTGCAGTCTGGATTACCCTTGAATTTTCAGGTTCCCTCAGGATGTCTCTGTCTTCTGGAAACTGTCTCTTCCCAGGCACAAGCGAGAATGAGCTGCCCTAGCTGTACAGCATTTGAGGAGATTTAGCAGTGCTGACTCTCTCTAATAGCACTCACACACCCCATTCCTCCTTGTGCACAAACCTGTGTAACTCCCACAAGTAACACGCTCAGCAGGGGCTACCACTGGGATGGGTGCATCAATTTTCCAGGAGTTATTCGGAGATCAAAAGTGCTTTTTGTTGGAAGGCACCTTCCAACATACAAAACATGCACACAGTTGTCTGCTACTTCTGTTACAGGATGTTTTTGTAAGGTTTTCTTTGTGAAAGAACATGGTTCTCAGCCTCCAGATCTATCTGCAAACACAATACTATAAGAAGCTCCTGCCGTGCTTTGGTTTGGTTTGATCCCCGATCACAGCTCCAGACATCCTGCAAGAGGCAGGGATGCCTCAAAAATGTACACCTGCCCTGTGAGTCCAAGCCAAAAATATTTGTGGGTACTTAAAGCTTTTCAGCTGGAAGTATTACATATATACATACCTTTGTCCCCCTGGCACACTGAAGCTGTTTAATGTGTATTAGGCATCCAAGCCTTGTGTTTTTCCTGGTAATGGATCCATATGGTCCTCGGCTTGGAAGCAACACTCTGCTAAGCCAGCTCTCTTACCAGCCTCAAAAAGCTCTGTGGTTGTAAACCACACAGCAGAGATTGGGCCAGAAAGGCCCTTACAATGCAGACAAAGCCAGGATCAGTTTTCAATAAATGCACTTTTCAACAGATTGATCTAGATGATCATGAATAA